AACAAACAAATTAAATAAAAATGTGGTTTTACGTAGCCTCCCTAGCAGTCTGATTATGTCCATATTTCTTTGCTCACAGCGGTACCTTTTTTTTGTATGGAAATATGTCGTTTTTTTTATTGTAGGCCTGTCATTTTTAGGAATAACTCACTGAAATCTGTCCGAATAAGAGTTTAGTAAACATCCCGGGGATGATAAAATTTGAAACCCGAAATCATAAATTATAATATAATAAATAATCATAAAAATAATAATATAATAATAAATTTAATTCAATAATATAATCAAACCAAAAACACTGAAATTTGAAATAGAGCGCCAAGTTCGCACATCACTGAGCAAAGTCGCAGAATCGTTTTCAGTGTTTGATGTCAAATTTCCCCCACCAATCATTATCACTCAATTCTGCAAGTGGTTCTAATTTACTATCGCTGTTCTCTAGCCGGTCTAAAACCGCTTTTGACCTAAAGGGACGCTTCTCAGTTTCCAGGCAGAAAGAACAGTAAAAATGCAGGCAGGGCGCAGGACAAAGCACTCGGGACAAAATGTATGTGAAATGGTTTGATACAGGAATGTTATACTATGCGATTTTAGTGTATTTAGTGAATGTCATTTTTTGACATTTTTAAATTTCCTGCCAGTTCCGTCCCCCCTTACGTCCCGACGTCGCAGGGAACGGAACCCAGAAGACAGATGCCGGAGGAGATGGCGGGGGACACTGCAGGAGAGACATCGCGGGAGCGCAAGACAAGGTAAGTGAAGAAGAGATCCCGGAGCAATGCTGCAGTGTATTCCTGAGAGTGTAGCTCGGGGTTACCGCTTGTGGTGCTGAAACTTTACCCCGAGCTACACTCAGGAATACCGCCAGGGAGGTTAAAGTGAACCTATAACGCAAACTATACACACTTAAAGCGGCTGTAAAGGCTCCAGGTTTTTTTTTACCTTCATGCAGAAACCCCTCTCTAATACTTACCTGAGCCCCATCGCGATCTAGCGATGTGCACGACACCCTTGGCTCTCCAAGGACTCTCCCTCCTTATTGGATGAGACAGCAGTGGGAGCCATTGGCTTCCAATGCTGTCAATCACAGCCAGTGAGCCAATGAGGAGAGAGAAGGGGCGGGGCTGAGCTGTGGCTCTGCGTATGAATGGATGCACAGGAGCAAGTGGTACAAAAGGTTATAACTGTGGGGGATGAGCTGATGGAAGTGATAAATGTTTAATTGGAGGTGTCACAGGCTTCCCTGAAGAGATGAGTTTTCAGGGATCGCCTAAAGGCAGCCAAAGTATCGGAGAGCCAAACAGATTGGGGAGAGTTCCTGAGGATGGGAGAGGCTCTAGCAAAGTCCTGGGGACAAGCATGGGAGGAGGAGAGAAGGGTGGTTTGAGTGATATCTGTAAACCAGATTGGTGATGTAGCTCAGGAAAGAGTTGTGGATGGCTTTGTACATAGTTAGGATTTTGAATTCAATTCGCTGGGAACCCAGGTGAGGGATTGGCAGAGAGGGGCAGCAAACACTGAGTGGTTGGTAAGGTAGAGAAGTCTTCATGATAGACTGAAGAGGGGATAGCCTGCGAAGAGGTCGGCCAATGAGGAGGGAGTTGCAATATTCAAGGCAAGAGATAACAAGGGAGTGAATGAGCATCTTGGTGGTTTCATTAGTTAAGTAGGGGCAAATTTTAGAGATGTTATGGTGGTGAAGTCTACAAGTTTTTTGACAGTGGTTTGATTTGGGGCTGAAAGGATAGGTCAGAGTCCAGGATTACACCTAGTACCCTGGCTGGAGGGGAGGGACTGTTAGTTGCATTAAGTCATGGAGGTGGGCACGAGGGGAAGGGAATATTATCAGCTCGGTTTTAACCATTAGCCACCCGGCCAATGGCCGTTTGGCTGCTTCAAAAGTGTTGCTGCATTCCGGGTGCACGTCATTTGGCGTGCTCCCGCACATGCGCAGTTTGCGCTAATGCAGAGCGGCGCAGCAGCGCGATCTGTCACCGGCCGTGCACCTCGGACACGGCCGATGACAGATCTGAGTACCGGCTCCCGTTGCTGGTACCATGTGACCTGCTGTGACCAATCACAGCAGGTCACATGACAGTTGTATACAATGGATGGCTTCATTCATGCCATCCATTGTATACTAGTGCCTAGCTGTGAATGGTCACAGCTAATCACATGCACATGTCATGTGATTAGCTGTGACCAAATCACAGCTAAGCACAAAAAAAAAAAAAAGCTGAATGAATCGATTTCATTCAGGTAAATGCTTGCTTATAGCAAAGTAATTCTTTGCTATAAGCAAATTGTGTAGAAAAAAAAAAAAATACTGATCACTTCCCCAAAGTAGTACAACGTTACTATGGTAACATTGTACTACTTTGGTCATAGTAAAATATGAAAAAAAATCTTAAAAAAAATAAAAAAAAAAAGTGTAATAAAAAATTAAAAATAATAAAAAAAATTAAAAAAAATTAAAAAAAAAATATATATTTTTTTTTTCAATACTGTCACCAGTCAGTGTCCCTGTTCACTGCCATGCCAGTTATATGATGATGCTGTACTGCACTGGTGACAGTATGTAAAAAAAAAAAAATAGTGAAAATAATTTTTTCATTTTCCAAAAAATTATGACAAAAAAAATACAACTTCAAAAAACTCGCCATGCCTCTTATGAAGTACGTCGGACTGTCTACTCTGCAAAAAGGGGTCATTTGGGGGATATCTGTACTGTCCTGACATTTGGGGGATATCTGTACTGTTCTGACATTCTTGGACCTCAAGAAATTAGATTGGCTGTCAGTACTTCAGGATTGATCAATATTCAGATCTATACCATAGTTTGTGAACTCTATAACTTTCCTACAAACTAAATAATACATCCTGATTTGGGTTATTTTCACCAAAGACATGTAGCAGAATACATCTCGGCCTAAATTTATGAAGAACAATTATTTATTTGTAAACTTTTATAACAGAAACAAAGAAAAATTTGTTTTTTGTTTCAAAATTTTTGGTCTTTTTTTGTTAATTTAGCAAAAAATAAAAACCCCAGCGGTGATTAAATACCACCAAAAGAAAGCTCTAGTTGTGTGAAGAAAATGATAAAATTTTAGTTTGGGTACAGTGTTGTATGACCGCGCAATTGTCATTCAAAGTGTGAGAGCGCTGAAACGTGAAAAATGGCCTGGGCAGGAAGGTGTAAAATTGCCCGGTATTGAAATGGTTAAACAGCTTTAGTTTAAGGAAGTGGAGCGACATCCATTCTGATATGTGAGTTAGTAAGTTGGTAATGTGAGAAGAGACTAAAAAAATAGATTTGGGTGTCATTGGAATCAATGGGAGGTTATCAGGTGACCAAGAGAGGAGGTGTAGATAGAGAAGAGAAGGGGTCCAAGGACAGAGCCTTGGGGGACCCCTAAAGAAGAAGGAAGTGGAGAGGAGGAGACAGAGTTATAGGTAACACTGAAGGAGCGCTGTGATAGATAGGAGGAGAACCAGGATAAGCTGGGGATCTGCAAACACAAGGGTACAAATGAGCTGGGGTTCTGCTAAAAGGAGGGTACCAATGAGCTGGGGATCTGCTAAAAGGAGGGTACCAATGAGCTGGGGATCTGCTAAAAGGAGGGTACCAATGAGCTGGGGATCTGCTAAAAGGAGGGTACCAATGAGCTGGGGATCTGCTAAATAAGGGTACCAATGAGCTGGGGATCTGCTAAAACAAGGGTACCAATGAGCTGGGGATCTGCTAAATAAGGGTACCAATGAGCTGGGGATCTGCTAAATAAGGGTACCAATGAGCTGGGGTTCTGCTAAAACAAGGGTACCAATGAGCTGGGGTTCTGCTAAATAAGGGTACCAATGAGGGGGTACCCAATGAGCTGGGGTTTTGCTAAAAGGAGGGTACCAATGAGCTGGGGATCTGCTAAAACAAGGGTACCAATGAGCTGGGGATCTGCTAAATAAGGGTACCAATGAGCTGGGGTTCTGCTAAATAAGGGTACCAATGAGCTGGGGTTCTGCTAAATAAGGGTACCAATGAGCTGGGGTTCTGCTAAATAAGGGTACCAATGAGCTGGGGATCTGCTAAAAGGAGGGTACCAATGAGCTGGGGATCTGCTAAAACAAGGGTACCAATGAGCTGAGGATCTGCTAAAACAAGGGTACCAATGAGCTGGGGATCTGCTGAACAAGGGCACCAATGAGCTGGGGATCTGCTGAACGAGGGCACCAATGAGCTGGGGATCTGCTGAACGAGGGCACCAATGAGCTGGAGGTCTGCTGAACAAGGGCACCAATGAGCTGGGGATCTGCTGAACGAGGGTACCAATGAGCTGGAGGTCTGCTGAATGAGGGTACCAATGAACTGGAGATCTGCTGAACGAGGGTACCAATGAGCTGGGGATCTGCTGAACGAGGGTACCAATGAGCTGGAGATCTGCTGAACGAGGGCACTAATGAGCTGGGGATCTGCTGAAAAGGGTACTAATGAGCTGGGGATCTGCTGAATGAGGGTACTAATGAGCTAGGGATCTTCTGAATGAGGGTACTGATGAGCTAGGGATCTGCCGAGTGGGGGTACGAATAGAAAATCAACACACAAGGTATTTGCCAATCTTCATTAAAGCTTTAAAAGAGCATTACCGAAGCATCAAACACACATCAAAAAAGCCCCAACTGTAAAATGCACCTGGGACCATATAAAGTGTATGTAAATATGTAAACACACTAATGGCAAATTGCTCCATGTAACGTCTGTTCAGTCTTCAGCAGGGGTAGGCAACCTGCGGCTCTCCAACTGTTGCAGGACTACAAGTTCCATCATGCCTCTGCAAGTCATAGCTGTAACTGTCAGTTCTGTAATGTTGCAATGCCACATGGGAGATGTAGTTCCACAACAGCTAGAGAGCCGCAGGTTGCCTACCCCTGGTCTAGAGAGATGGCAAACTGACCGCAGCAGACAAAGCCAGCTATGTAGTGTGAATCGGGTTGGGTTGGATCACTCACCATAGTACCTGGAGATAGACACTATCCACATAATTAAACACAGGAGCCGCTAATGAAGCTGCTACCAGTATTAACTGAACTGCAGTGTTCATCTGAAAGGCAACAAAAATACTGTAATTAGCATTGACGCTACAAAGTCGCCCTTACATGTTACACAGTACTTCCCCTTAAAGCTGAAATTTAGGTATGGCAATTCTTACAGCTTGGACCAGGGGCGGACTGACAACTCATGGGGTCCCCGGGCAATAGGGGATCATGGGACCCCTGTGTCCTTGCCCAAACTCAAAAATGCCTATGAAAAAAGGTACCAGGGGCATCTCATGGGGCCCCTACTGACCCCCGGCCGTCGGGCAGTGCCCGAGTTTCCAAATGGTCAGTCTGCCCCTGGCTTGGACCAAAGTAAGCATGCATACACCATACCTGTGGGATCCCTATGGAAGCTGCCAATCTCTGCAGGAGGCACTGCTACTCCATGACCTAACCCACTGTAAACCAACAAACTTTAAATGGTACGGCAATTCTGGGAGTTTTTCTTTAACCACTTCCCATCCGGCTCATGTATATAAAACGGCCGGACGGTGGCAGTGCAGGGGCGGGTTGCCGTTCATAAATGGCGCGCGCCATTTTGGACTGTGCGCACTCCCTGGGACACTGATCGCTGTACGGGACCTCGGTGTGAGGTCCCGATCATGTGATCACTGATTGGCCAATCAGTGATCATATGAATAGGAGTAAGCAATATGTCACTTCTGACATCATTGCTTACTACGTGTGAAATCTGTGAATGACCACAGAGATCACATGGTACAAGGCTATTCACAACAGCCTTGTACCATGTGACAAGCTGTGACCAATCACAGCTCTCACAGCATTTCTCAATGGCTGCAAGAATGCAGCCAGAGAGGATAAATTATTGCTTTTACAGCCTTTATGGGTGTAAAAGCAATCAGTGTAAAAAAAAAAAAAAAAATCTTCATCACCCCCCACAAGTAGTACAGTGTCACCATGGTGACACTGTACTGCTAGGGTGACAGTATGTTAACAAAAAAATAATAAAAAAAGGAAACTTTTTTTTTTTAAATTATGATTTTTGGTTATAAACTAATTTGGGTTATTTTTTTTTACCAAAAAGATAACGGAATACATTTTGGCCAAGATTTATGAAGAAAGATTATTTATTTGCAAAATTTTATAAGAAAAACACTTTTCTAAATTTGGACTTTTTCATTTATATAGCAAACAAAAATAAAAATCCCAGTGGTGAATAAATATCACCAAAATAAAGTTTTATCTGTCTCAAAAAAATGCTAAAAATTTCATATGGGTACAGTGTTGCATGACCGCGCGCAATTGTCATTCAAAGTGTGATAGCGCTGAAAGCTGAAAATTGGCCTGGACAGGAAGGGGGTGTAAGTGTCCGGACTGGAAGTGGTTAAATAACCTCATTAGTGTTTTAGAGACATCAATAGTTTTAGGGCCGGTTCACATTATGTCCCAGGCTGAATCGCACAGGAACGCGCTGTGTGTTCCTGTCTGATTCATCTGCAGCTCTGTGCAGTTAGATTTCATTTGAATGGGCTGAAATCGCACCGCACCAATAGTAGTGCATGTACTATTGGGCAGCACAGTGGCTAAATGGTTAGCACTTCCACCTGGCAGCACTCGGGTCTTTGGTTCTAATCCCAGCCACGGCACCACCTGCCTGGAGTTTGCATGTTCTCCCTGTCCCTGCGTGGGTTTCCTCCTACACTCCAAAGACATGCTGGTAGGTAAATTGGCTCCTGTCTAAATTGTCCCTAGTATGTGTATGTATGAATGCGAGTTAGGGACCTTAGATTGTACACCCCTTGAGGGTTAGGGACTGATGTGAATGTACAATACATATATACAGTCAGGTCCATAAATATTGGGACATCAACACAATTCTAACATTTTTGGCTCTTTACACCACCACACTGAATTTTAAATGAAACAAACAAGATGTGCTTTAACTGCAGACTGTCAGCTTTAATTTGAGGGTATTTACATCCAAATCAGGTGAACGGTGTAGGAATTACAACAGTTTGCATATGTGCCTCCCACTTGTTAAGGGACCAAAAGTAATGGGACAGAATAATAATCATAAACCAAACTTTCACTTTTTAATACTTGGTTGCAAATCCTTTGCAGTCAATTACAGCCTGAAGTGTGGAACGCATAGACATCCCCAGACGCTGGGTTTCATCCCAGGTGATGCTCTGCCAGGCCTCTACTGCAACTGTCTTCAGTTCTTGCTTGTTCTTGGGGCATTTTCCCTTCAGTTTTGTCTTCAGCAAGTGAAATGCTCAATCGGATTCAGGTCAGGTGATTGACTTGGCCATTGCATAACATTCCACTTCTTTCCCTTCAAAAACTCTTTGGTTGCTTTTGCAGTCTGCTTTGGGTCATTGTCCATCTGCACTGTGAAGCGTCCAATGAGTTGTGAAGCATTTGGCTAAATATGAGCAGATAATATTGCCCGAAACACTTCAGAATTCATCCGGCTGCTTCTGTCAGCAGTCACATCATCAATAAATACAAGAGAAGCAGTTCCATTGGCAGCCATACATGCCCACGCCATGACACTACCACCACCATGCTTCACTGATGAGGTGGTATGCTTAGGATCATGAGCAGTTCCTTTCCTTCTCCATACTCTTCTCTTCCCATCACTCTGGTACAAGTTGATGTCGGTCTCATCTGTCCATAGGATGTTGTTCCAGAACTGTGAAGGCTTTTTTAGATGTCGTTTGGCAAACTCTAATCTGGCTTTCCTGTTTTTGAGGTTCACCAATGGTTTCCATCTTGTGGTGAACCCTCTGTATTCACTCTGGTGAAGTCTTCTCTTGATTGTTGACTTTGACACACATACACCTACCTCCTGGAGAGTGTTCTTGATCTGGCCAACTGTTGTGAAGGGTGTTTTCTCTTCACCAGGGAAAGAATTCTTCGCTCATCCACCACAGTTGTTTTCCGTGGTCTTCCGGGTCTTTTGGTGTTGCTGAGCTCACCGGTGCGTTCCTTCTTTTTAAGAATGTTCCAAACAGTTGTTTTGGCCACACCTAATGTTTTTGTTATCTCTCTGATGGGTTTGTTTTGTTTTTTCAGCCTAATGATGGCTTCACTGATAGTGACAGCTCTTTGGATCTCATCTTGACAGTTGACAGCAACAGATGCCAAATGCAAATAGCACACTTGAAATGAACTCTGGACCTTTTATCTGCTCATTGTAATTGGGATAATGAGGGAATAACACACACCTGGCCATGGAACAGCTGAGAAGCCAATTGTCCCATTACTTTTGGTCCCTTAACAAGTGGGAGGCACATATGCAAACTGTTGTAATTCCTACACCGTTCACAACTGATTTGGATGTAAATACCCTCAAATTAAAGCTGACAGTCTGCAGTTAAAGCACATCTTGTTCGTTTCATTTCAAATCCATTGTGGTGGTGTATAGAGCCAAAAATGTTAGAATTGTGTCCATGTCCCAAATATTTATGGACCTGACTGTATGTGTGTAAAGCGCTGCATAAAATTGACAGCGCTATACAAGTACCTGAAATAAAATGAATACGATGTTTTGAAATGCACAGCAACTGCATCACAAGATACTTTCTACCATGCGATTTGGTCCAGTTCGACCTGTGTTTGGGGTGTGGTCAACTTTTAACTGACCCCCCCAGCAGATCGCAAGGGCATGGCGATCGGAATGCGGTGCGGGAAGCTGCACGGAATCGCAGCTCTACCGCACTGTATTCTAGTGTGATCGAGCCCTTAGAGTCCATTCACATGTGCGGTGCTCTCTGAAGAGCAATTCCCATACGGATTGCTCTTCAGCCAGCATAAGACAGGCGGCGAGGAGGCGCTGTATCACATCCTCACTGACTGCTTTAACGCCTTGAACCCCGCACAAGCACTCCACAACCATGTACACTATTTGCGGTTTTGGGGTGATTGTAAAACAGCCATATTCATGTGAATGGGGTACGATTGGTTAACCCATAGGTCTCATGCACACTAGAAAAGCTAAAAACTGCTGTAGAAATGCTGGACAATAAACGCTCGTTTTAGAGATTTTTGTTGGGTTTAGCAGTGTGTAAGCTACGTTTTTAGCTTCTGCATTCAGAAGCTGGCCCGTTGCTAAGGAGTGGCCAGAAAGCATGCTGGGGTGGTGACGTCACAAGGGGGCGGGGTCTACAAGTGACGTCACTGGATGGCCCACCCCTTGTTATTAAAGAGCTGTAAGACGGCGGGAGCCTTCGCCGGGACCAGAGGTTTTATTTTTTCCTTTTAGAGGTGGGTGGTGGCCGTGGGCATCGCCATCCATGATGGATCCACACTGGGTGACATTTTTTTTTTTGTTTAATAAAGGACTTGTGTTGCGTTTTTATTTTACTTTTTACACTTTTATGGTGAAGGAGCAGGGATACTACATACCCCATACTCATTCACATAGAGGGGAGAATCTCGGGGGGTTTGTTAAAGGGGGCTTCCAGATTCTGAAAAGCCCCCCCCCGTCCACAGACCCCCAAAACCACCAGCCACGGTTGTGGGGAAGGGGCCCTTGTCCTCATCAACATGGGGACAAAGTGCTTTGAGGAGGACTGCCCCCCCCAACCCCAAGGTACCTTCCAACCCCCCCATGTTGAGGGTATGTGGCCTGGTATGGTTTAGGACAGGGGGCGCTCATTGGCCCCCCCTTTCCAGACCTGCCAAGCTGCATGCTCAGATAAGGATCTGGTATGGATTTGGGGAGAGAAGAAGGGGGACCACACCCCATTTTTTTTTTTTAATGTGGTGATCCCCTTAAAATCCATACCAGACCCAAAAAGCTTAGTATGGATGTTTTTTTCACTTTTTGTTTTATTGCCGGCAATATATATATATATATATATATATATATATATATATATATATATATATATATATATATATATATATATTTACATTCAGCTGTCAGAGGGGGGAATCCTACCACACACCATTTTTTTTTTTTAATTTTGGTGTGGTGTTCCCCTTAAAATCCATACCAGACCCAAAGGGCTTAGTACGGACTGGGGGGGGGGGGGACCCCCATGATGTTTTTCTTCACTTTTTGTTTTATTGCTGGCAATATATATATTTTTTACATTCAGCTGTCAGTGGGGAATCCTACGACACACCATTTTTTTTTTTTTAAATTTTGGTACGGTGTTCCCCTTAAAATCCATACCAGACCCAAAGGGCTTAGTATAGATTGGGGGGGACCCCCATGACGTTTTGTTTCACTGTTTGTTTATTGCCGGCAATATATATATACTGTATATATATATATATATATATATATTTTATTTTTTACATTCAGCTGTCAGAGGGGAATCCTACCACACACCATTTTTTTTTTTTTTAATTTTGGTGTGGTGTTCCCCTTAAAATCCATACCAGACCCAAAGGGCTTAGTATGGACCGGGGGGGGGGGACCCCCATGATGTTTTTTTTTTCACTATTTGTTTTATTGCCGGATAGATATAGATATATATATATATATATATATTTAAACATCAACCACCTCCTTCCTAATATGATTACCCTATAACACAATCAACACCTTCCCCTAAAAGTGTACCAAACTATATACGTGACAGTGTTATTATACAAATGCTCCAAAACAATAATACCCAATTTTGCGTAAGGTGAATCCACTACCAATATATAGTCCACTATAAATCTTTATGCAAAAAAATGTCCCAAATTCTTCCAACGATATTCCAAAACACAATCCACCTCAAAAAAAAGGAAAACTCATATAGTGCATTATCCTTTATAAAATTATATACTTAAACTTTATTTGTGCTTCCTATAGTGAAAATACGTGAGAAAATAGTGAAAAAACGTGAACCACACGTGATCCGTGAAAAACCACTTCAGTGTACACAACACTCTTACAGTGCCATAACACAGAAAATCCAAAACTAAAATGTGTACACTTCTAGATGCAGTAAGGGTACCCTTACCAACTTTCCCAATATAATAGGCTTTGTAACAATCCAGGAACTTTTCAGGCTGATCAACTCAGGAACCTCTGCTGTATCCCGCAGCCACCCCACTCTCTGGGTTCCTCAGACACTATTGCCAAAGTTAAAACAACGCATTAGAGGGAGTTCAGAAGGTGTAAGGATCTCACGGACATCCAGGGAGACACGTCCCGTCGCTCCTGCTCGATCTCTCCCTTATTTAAAATGGCCGCCAGGTAACTTCCGGTTTCCGGGAAAACGTCTTAACGTCACTCCGCCTTGACGCGTTTCGTCATCGACTTAGTCATAAGGGGTGTGAGCGTCAAGCAACACAGTTCTATTTAAACCCCTCCTCATCATGGCGCCGAAAACACTCACCGCCATATATAAGTATTATATATTTATAGAAAGCCAATGAAAATTATGAGGTAGAGTTTTACAGTATGGTATGTTGGTGGACGATTCTTACATTAGGTAATATTTGCCGGATCAGTTGTAAGCAGTTACCGGATAATACTGGCACTGCTCCCATCTCCAATATGGCGGTGAGTGTTTCGGCGCCATGATGAGGAGGGGTTTAAATAGAACTGTGTTGCTTGACGCTCACACCCCTTATGACTAAGTCGATGACGAAACGCGTCAAGGCGGAGTGACGTTAAGACGTTTTCCCGGAAACCGGAAGTTACCTGGCGGCCATTTTAAATAAGGGAGAGATCGAGCAGGAGCGACGGGACGTGTCTCCCTGGATGTCCGTGAGATCCTTACACCTTCTGAACTCCCTCTAATGCGTTGTTTTAACTTTGGCAATAGTGTCTGAGGAACCCAGAGAGTGGGGTGGCTGCGGGATACAGCAGAGGTTCCTGAGTTGATCAGCCTGAAAAGTTCCTGGATTGTTACAAAGCCTATTATATTGGGAAAGTTGGTAAGGGTACCCTTACTGCATCTAGAAGTGTACACATTTTAGTTTTGGATTTTCTGTGTTATGGCACTGTAAGAGTGTTGTGTACACACTGAAGTGGTTTTTCACGGATCACGTGTGGTTCACGTTTTTTCACTATTTTCTCACGTATTTTCACTATAGGAAGCACAAATAAAGTTTAAGTATATAATTTTATAAAGGATAATGCACTATATGAGTTTTCCTTTTTTTTGAGGTGGATTGTGTTTTGGAATATCGTTGGAAGAATTTGGGACATTTTTTTGCATAAAGATTTATAGTGGACTATATATTGGTAGTGGATTCACCTTACGCAAAATTGGGTATTATTGTTTTGGAGCATTTGTATAATAACACTGTCACGTATATAAATATATATATATATATATATAGATAGATAGATAGATATATAATCCTGCTGACTCATCCGTTGTTAAGGACATGGCGGCTGGTTTCCTGGCCCTCTCCTTAACCAGCAAAGGAATAAATGCTGCTAAAAAATGCTGCTGGGCACCGGCATGTAGCAGAGTTCAGTAGAGTGTAGGATCTGTCAGCGTTTTATTTTCTGCCAAAGCACCAATGCTCCTGGATGCACTGGCCCTGGGTTAATTTTCCTGCCGGTAAACACTACTGCTACTAAAAGCTTCTAAATGTCTATGTGTGTGTGTGGCACATAGGAGAATATATAATAAAAAAAAAAAAAAAAAAGCCTGATGCCCCTAAAAGTGGCTGCAAAAACTCCCTGTGTGCATGAGGACATACTGCTAACTATTAGATGGATCCCCAAACTCATTAGCCAGCGGAGGAGAGGAAACCATACCTACCTTACTGATAAACGTTGGCTCTAACTGAGCAGTTGCATAGCAAGGGTTAAAATATTTTCCAACTGTTCTCTGAAAGGAAAAAAACAAACATTTTTGGTGCATTTATTAGGAAGACTAGCAATCAATTTGAGTCTTGGAAACAATGTGAAGAACTATTCAGGCTTTCCCTTTCATGATTCCAGGACAGAACTGGGCTATAGACAGGCTGCTTTCACACCATCCCCTATTGAAGGTCCTGTATTAGCCCCCGGTCACATTGGGTGCGATTTGGTGTGCGATTTTCATGGCAGGCGACTTGCAAATCGTAGTCCAAGTCGCACCCTATTGTCCGCTATTAGAACGGTCATATCGGTGCGATTCCGACTTGGTCAGAGCCGCACCGGTTTCTAAAGTAGTACATACACTACTCTTGTTGTGATTTGCATAGACGTCTGTGTCAGATGTCTTGCAAATCGCAATCAAATCGGCATGTCACCTGACTTTGAAATTGTGCGACTTCACTGTAAGTCGCACGATTTCAAAACCGGCTTTGATGTGACCGGGGTGATACTGTAATCCTGCCAGGCTTCACACACAGTACTACATATGCTCATCATAGGTGTCCGGCTATGATCAGAGAAGACAGGATCAAACAGTCTTTTTACACAATGCGGAGGCTTAACCCCTTACGTTCCACAGCTTGTGACATGCGAGCCCCCAAGGTGGTGATTTCCCCCAACTGCTGATGCCTTTGATCCGATAATACCTGGAGCTGTCCCCTGGACCCTGATGATCATTGGCGGAGATTATATATATATATATATATATACACACACACACACATACACATTATATATACACACACACACACATATATACATATATACACACACACACATATATACATATACACACACACACACACACACATGCGCATACCTTTTGCGCTTCTGGTGAGTACATTCATTTACTGGCCCTCGCCAGAGATCACCGACACGGAGCCCAGATCACTAATTTATCTGGACTTGATATGTATTCTCTGTGTATGATGCACTATTTATTATTTATTTCAGGTACTTATATAGCGCCATCAATTTACGCAGCGCTTTACTTATATATATGTACATTCACATCAGTCCCTAACCCTCAAGGGGTGTACAATCTAAGGTCCCTAACTCACATTCATACATACACATACTAGGGACAATTTAGACAGGAGCCAATTAACCTACCAGCATGTCTTTGGAGTGTGGGAGGCAACTGGAGTACCTGGAGGAAACCCACACAGACACAGGGAGAACATGCAAACTCCAGGCAGGTGGTGCCGTGGCTGGAATTCGAACCAACGACCCGAGTACTGCCAGGAGAAAGTGCTAACCATTTAGCCACTGTGCTGCCCTACTACAGTCACTTTATATATTGACATTACCGTTTTTTTTTTCGCTCCATAAGACGCACTTTTTTCCCCCCAAAAAAGGGGGGAAAATGTTAGTGCGTCTTATGGAGCGGCCGGTCCGGTATTTCCACTGCCGCCGTGTCAGAATACCGGGCCGGCCGCTCAACTCTGCAGTGGGACCTTATGGAGAGGACTGCTGACCTTTGGGGAGGGGGGGAGCGGGTACCTGAATTTGACAGGTACCCGCTCTTACTTCCGCGGAGTTGTTCTTTGATCTTACCTGTTCCTCTATCCAGCGGCGCGCTGTCTTCCCGGCTTCTGTAGTGGCGCTGGGCTTGAGAGCCGGGTGCCAAGTGCGCATGCGCAAGAAGTGGTGCTTTTTTGTGAATGGTAAGGCGGTACCTGGGACACATGACAGATCCCAGAAGCCGCCGGACCAATCACAAAGTGCAAGTGCTTCTCGCTCATGCGCACTTGGCACCCGGCTGTCATGCCGAGCGCCATTACAGAAGCCGGGAAGACAGCACGCCGCTGGACGAGGAACAGGTAAGATCAAAGAACAACTCCGCGGAAGTAAGAGCGGGTACCTGTCAAATTCAGGTACCCGCTCCCCCCCCTCCCCAAAGGTCAGCAGTCATCCCCTGTACTGTCCGCAGTCTCTGGTCATCCCCTGTACTGTGTCCGCAGTCTCTGGTCATCCCCTGTACTGTGTCCGCAGTCTCTGGTCATCCCCTGTACTGTGTCCGCAGTCTCTGGTCATCCCCTGTACTGTGTCCGCAGTCTCTGGTCATCCCCTGTACTGTGTCCGCAGTCTCTGGTCATCCCCTGTACTGTGTCCGCAGTCTCTGGTCATCCCTGTACTGTGTCCGCAGTCTCTGGTCAATCCCCTGTACTGTGTCCGCAGTCTCTGGTCATCCCCTGTACTGTGTCCGCAGTCTCTGGTCATCCCCTGTACTGTGTCCGCAGTCTCTGGTCATCCCCTGTACTGTGTCCGCAGTCTCTGGTCATCCCCTGTACTGTGTCCGCAGTCTCTGGTCATCCCCTGTACTGTGTCCGCAGTCTCTGGTCATCCCCTGTACTGTGTCCGCAGTCTCTGGTCATCCCCTGTACTGTGTCCGCAGTCTCTGGTCATCCCCTGTACTGTGTCCGCAGTCTCTGGTCATCCCCTGTACTGTGTCCGCAGTCTCTGGTCATCCCCTGTACTGTGTCCGCAGTCTCTGGTCATCCCTGTACTGTGTCCGCAGTCTCTGGTCATCCCCTGTACTGTGTCCGCAGTCTCTGGTCATCCCCTGTACTGTGTCCGCAGTCTCTGGTCATCCCCTGTACTGTGTCCGCAGTCTCTGGTCATCCCCTGTACTGTGTACTTCCGCAGTCTCTGGTCATCCCCTGTACTGTGTCCGCAGTCTCTGGTCATCCCCTGTACTGTGTCCGCAGTCTCTGGTCATCTCTGGTCATCCCCTGTACTGTGTCCGCAGTCTCTGGTCATCCCCTGTACTGTGTCCGCAGTCTCTGGTCATCCCCCTGTACTGTGTCCGCAGTCTCTGGTCATCCCCTGTACTGTGTCCGCAGTCTCTGGTCATCCCCTGTACTGTCCGCAGTCTCTGGTCATCCCCTGTACTGTGTCCGCAGTCTCTGGTCATCCCCTGTACTGTGTCCGCAGTCTCTGGTCATCCCCTGTACTGTGTCCGCAGTCTCTGGTCATCCCCTGTACTGTGTCCGCAGTCTCTGGTCATCCCCCTGTACTGTGTCCGCAGTCTCTGGTCATCCCCTGTACTGTGTCCGCAGTCTCTGGTCATCCCTGTGTACTGTGTCCGCAGTCTCTGGTCATCCCTGTACTGTGTCCGCAGTCTCTGGTCATCCCCTGTACTGTGTCCGCAGTCTCTGGTCATCCCCTGTACTACTGTGTCCGCAGTCTCTGGTCATCCCCTGTACTGTGTCCGCAGTCTCTGGTCATCCCTGTACTGTGTCCGCAGTCTCTGGTCATCCCTGTACTGTGTCCGCAGTCTCTGGTCATCCCCTGTACTGTGTCCGCAGTCTCTGGTCATCCCCTGTACTGTGTCCGCAGTCTCTGGTCATCCCCTGTACTGTGTCCGCAGTCTCTGGTCATCCCCTGTACTGTGTCCGCAGTCTCTGGTCATCCCCTGTACTGTGTCCGCAGTCTCTGGTCATCCCCTGTACTGTGTCCGCAGTCTCTGGTCATCCCCTGTACTGTGTCCGCAGTCTCTGGTCATCCCCTGTACTGTGTCCGCAGTCTCTGGTCATCATCCCTGTACTGTGTCCGCAGTCTCTGGTCATCCCTGTACTGTGTCCGCAGTCTCTGGTCATCCCCTGTACTGTGTCCGCAGTCTGTCATCCTCCTGTACTGTGTCCGCAGTCTCTGGTCATCCCCCTGTACTGTGTCCGCAGTCTCTGGTCATCCCCTGTACTGTGTCCGCAGTCTCTGGTCATCCCTGTACTGTGTCCGCAGTCTCTGGTCATCCCTGTACTGTGTCCGCAGTCTCTGGTCATCCCCTGTGTACTGTGTCCGCAGTCTCTGGTCATCCCCTGTACTGTCCGCAGTCTCAGTCTCTGGTCATCCCCTGTACTGTGTCCGCAGTCTCTGGTCATCCCCTGTACTGTGTCCGCAGTCTCTGGTCATCTCCTGTACTGTGTCCGCAGTCTCTGGTCATCTCCTGTACTGTGTCCGCAGTCTCTGGTCATCTCCTGTACTGTGTCCGCAGTCTCTGGTCATCTCCTGTACTGTGTCCGCAGTCTCTGGTCATCTCCTGTACTGTGTGTCCGCAGTCTCTGGTCATCTCCTGTACTGTGTCCGCAGTCTCTGGTCATCTGGTCATCCTGTACTGTGTCCGCAGTCTCTGGTCATCTCCTGTACTGTGTCCGCAGTCTCTGGTCATCTCCTGTACTGTGTCCGCAGTCTCTGGTCATCTCCTGTACTGTGTCCGCAGTCTCTGGTCATCTCCTGTACTGTGTCCGCAGTCTCTGGTCATCTCCTGTACTGTGTCCGCAGTCTCTGGTCATCTCCTGTACTGTGTCCCGCAGTCTCTGGTCATCTCCTGTACTGTGTCCGCAGTCTCTGGTCATCTCCTGTACTGTGTCCGCAGTCTCTGGTGGTCATCTCTGTACTGTGTCCGCAGTCTCTGGTCATCTCCTGTACTGTGTCCGCAGTCTCTGGTCATCTCCTGTACTGTGTCCGCAGTCTCTGGTCATCTCCTGTACTGTGTCCGCAGTCTCTGGTCATCTCCTGTACTGTGTCCGCAGTCTCTGGTCATCTCCTGTACTGTGTCCGCAGTCTCTGGTCATCTCCTGTACTGTGTCCGCAGTCTCTGATCTCCTGTACTGTGTCCGCAGTCTCTGGTCATCTCCTGTACTGTGTCCGCAGTCTCTGGTCATCTCCTGTACTGTGTCCGCAGTCTCTGGTCATCTCCTGTACTGTGTCCGCAGTCTCTGGTCATCTCCTGTACTGTGTCCGCAGTCTCTGGTCATCTCCTGTACTGTGTCCGCAGTCTCTGGTCATCTCCTGTACTGTGTCCGCAGTCTCTGGTCATCTCCTGTACTGTGTCCGCAGTCTCTGGTCATCTCCTGTACTGTGTCCGCAGTCTCTGGTCATCTCCTGTACTGTGTCCGCAGTCTCTGGTCATCTCCTGTACTGTGTCCGCAGTCTCTGGTCATCTCCTGTACTGTGTCCGCAGTCTCTGGTCATCTCCTGTACTGTGTCCGCAGTCTCTGGTCATCTCCTGTACTGTGTCCGCAGTCTCTGGTCATCTCCTGTACTGTGTCCGCAGTCTCTGGTCATCTCCTGTACTGTAGTCTCTGGTCATCTCCTGTACTGTGTCCGCAGTCTCTGGTCATCTCCTGTACTGTGTCCGCAGTCTCTGGTCATCTCCTGTACTGTGTCCGCAGTCTCTGGTCATCTCCTGTACTGTGTCCGCAGTCTCTGGTCATCTCCTGTACTGTGTCCGCAGTCTCTGGTCATCTCCTGTACTGTGTCCGCAGTCTCTGGTCATCTCCTGTACTGTGTCCGCAGTCTCTGGTCATCTCCTGTACTGTGTCCGCAGTCTCTGGTCATCTCCTGTACTATGTCTGCAGTCCATTAGGTCAGAATTTTTTTTTCCCCGTTTTCTGCCTCTAAAACCTAAGTGTGTCTTATGGAGCGAAAAATACGGTATATATCCCTTTTTTCGTTACGTCACCCAGAGACGATCCATCACGGTGTCACTTCTTACGCGCTGCAATAGCGCTCACTTCCCAATACCTATATATTTAGATTTAATATTTTTATTCATCATACTTTGGCGCTGCATTTTTATCATATTGTATTATTTGGAGGTGTAGAGGTTTGCCTTTTATTCCAGCAGCTTTCCTCTGTCTGCGCTCGCATTTATTCACATACGTTTCCGTTACTGTAATCCTGCCAGGCTTCATACACAGCGCTAAATATGATCAGCTTTTTTCCTTTTATTACTTACCCCATGCTAAAAGGAAGGGTTAGAATATCCCAGCACACCGGAGAGTGGGGCTGCTGCTGGTAATTGGAGAACTGAGCTATGCTGCGTGTCGCAATGAACTGCTTAAAGAAAATAAATCGTATTTATTTCACAGCTTTCTCCCCTATGGGAAAAATGTACATGCAGTATTTTGTCCCATGTTTCCAGGGGCTGTCTTGTTTTGTAATTCGTTTATTTGTACAAATACCATGCACAAAGAAGGCAAACAGACCATCTTAGGAAGTGCACTGAACTTTGCAAGAAAGTGCTATATTGTCCAAAAAAAAGAATAAAAAAATGGTCATAGTCAGTAAGAAAAGGCGTAAACAAAGCATTGTCAAAAAATGGTTCATATAGAGCAGTGGTCTCCAAACTGCGACCCTCTGCTTGCTTTTATTCCTGCCACTGACACCAACCGTGGGGCATAATTCCTGCCACTGACACCAACAATGGAGCATAATTCCTGCCACTGACACCAACAACAATGGGGACTGACACCAAACAATTCCTGCCACTGACACCACCAGCAACAATGGGGCATAATTCCTGCCACTGACACCAGCAACAATGGGGCATAATTCCTGCCACTGACACCAGCAACAATGGGGCATAATTCCTGCCACTGACACCAGCAAACAATGGGGCATAATTCCTGCCACTGACACCAACAACAATGGGGCATAATTCCTGCCACTGACACTGCCACTGCAACAATGGGGCATAATTCCTGCCACTGACACCACCAACAATGGGGCATAATTCCTGCCACTGACACCACTAACAATGGAGCATAATTCCTGCCACTGACACCACCAACAATGGAGCATAATTCCTGCCACTGACACCACCAACAATGGGGCATAATTCCTGCCACTGACACCACCAACAATGGGGCATAATTCCTGCCACTGACACCAACAAAGGGGCATAATTCCTGCCACTGACACCAACCAACAAATTCCTGCCAGGGGCATAATTCCTGCCACTGACACCAACAAAGGGGCATAATTCCTGCCACTGACACCAACAAAGGGGCATAATTCCTGCCACTGACACCAACAAAGGGGCATAATTCCTGCCACTGACACCAACAATGGGGCATAATTCTTGCCACTTACACCAACAAAGGGGCATATTTCCTGCCACTGACACCAACAATGGAGCATAATTCCTACCACTGACACCAACAATGGAGCATAATTCCTGCCACTGACACCAACAATGGGGCATAATTCCTGCCACTGACACCAACAAAGGGGCATAATTCTTGCCACTGACACCAACAATGGGGCATAATTCCTGCCACTGACACCAACTATGGAGCATAATTCCTACCACTGACACCAACGTTGGGCATAACTCCTGCCACTGACACCAGCGATAGGGTATAATTGCTTCCACTGACACCAACAATAGAGCACTATTCCTCCCACTGACACCAACAATAGAGCACTATTCCTCCCACTGACACCAATAGAGCAGTATTCTTCCCACTGATACCAACAATAGAGCACTATTCCTCCCACTGACACCAACAATAGAGCACTATTCCTCCCACCGACACCAACTATTTTTTCCCCCAATACCAAAGATCAGTCATTGTTTACTCCCACTGGGTAAAGTCCATTCTGCCGCCCCCCCCCCCCCAAGGTCTGAAGGACAGTAAACTGGCCCTGTCTTTAGAAAGTTTGGAGACCCCCTAATATAGAGCATCAAGGGCAAAGTTATATGGCGGTAGTATTAGAAAGCCTATGGAAAGCGAGGCTTGGAACGCACGCTGGCCATTACTATTGGAACACACACAGGCTGCATAAACTGGTGCCGGTTCTTTGGGCCCCATTACATATGAGTGTAAGGATACATTTTTGTTATGCAATTCCTAATATATACAACACTGAGAGCATTTAACTCGTGTGGATTACTTGAGCTGCTTGGAGCATCACCCTTATGTTAACCAGTTACTGCCCGGCCTATAGCCAGATGGCGGCCGGGCGAACAGCTCGTCCCTCCAGCCTCCATATGGCATCCTTTCAGGAACGCGCATTGTGCATGCCCGCAGGGACGTGCTGTAGTGCGATCTGTCACCGGCTGTGTACCTCGGACACGGCCGATGACAGATCTGTGTACCAGCCCCGTTGCCGGTACCATGTGACCGGCTGTCACCAATCACAGCAGGTCACATGATAGTTGTATACAATGGATGGCTTCCTTTCATGCCATCCATTGTATACAAGTGTGTCTAACTGTGAATGGTCACAGCGATCACATGCACAAGCTGGGCCAATCACATCCCAGCTGTGTCATGTGATTAGCTGTGGCCAAATCACAGCTAAGCACACACAATAAAAAAAAAAAAAAACCCCTGAATGAATGGATTTCATTCAGGTAAATGCTTTTTACTTTCTTATAGCAAATTCGCTTTAAGTATCATTAACCACTTGAAGGTTTTACCCCCTTCATGGCCAGTCCATTTTTGCTATTCAACACTGCACTAATTTAACTGGTAATTGTGCTGTCATGCAACACTGTACCCAAATGAAATTTGTATCATTTTTATTTTTTTTCACAAAAATAGAGCTTTCTTTTGGTGGTATTTAATCACCACTGGTTTTATTTATTTATTCATTTATTTATTTATTGTGATCTAAATGCAAAAAAAAAAAAAAAAAAAAAAAACAAAAAACTCGTTTTTGTGTTAGGAAATTTTGCAAATAATTTTTCTTAAGAAATTTCAGCCAAAATGTATTCTGCTACATTTCTTTGGTACAAATAACCCAAATCAGTGTATATTACTTATTTTATATAAAAGTTATATAGAGTCTAAAAGCTATAGCATATATATTTTTAAATTGATCAATCCCATGTATAGACAGACAGATAGATATTAGATAGATAGTGTCAGGGATCGGTGTCCCTGCCGCGATACGCCGGGCGGCGCATGTGCAGGACACCGATGCATTTTAATCGGCGGGCAGCGGGACCTGGGCGATCGCGATGGCCACGCATGCGCACTGGCAATCGCGGACACGTGCCTGGCACCAATGACAGTGCAGGGCGGGCTATTTAAACTGGATTAGAGGTATGTCAATTGCCGTCTGGTCTTTTGTGCTCTGTCCTGATACCTGATCCTGTTACTCCGTTGCCGACCTCTGCATTGTACCTGACCCTGCTGATTGTATCCTGCTTAACCCTTGGCTTGCCTGACCATCCTTCTGCCTGACCCCTTGTACCGCGCTGCCCGTGAGTTACTGAACCCGGCTTGTGACCCCGACCATTCTCTGCCTTCTCCTCCGGTACCTCGCTGCCCGCACGGTGCTGACCTGGCCCGCCCTGACTACGCTTCCAGCCACCCAGATGATCCATCCATCCCGCCCGCAGGGATCGTCCCTGGTTACCAGGTCTGCCAGCCTCTTCACAGCAGACTCCTTACCCTGCACTCCTCTGACAGTGCTCTCTACCATTGTCGGACATACTCAGGGGTTGCGACCTGATTCCTGTCTGCTACAAGTCCATCCCCACCATCAGGGGCCCTGGTGAATAAGCAGACTGGGACTTAGACCCCGCGCCCTGAGGAAATCCGTGCTGTGGACCGATAGAGACGCCGCCAGGCGGATCGTGACAGATAGATTAGATAAAGAATCTTATTTCAATTGCATTTAAAAAAAAAAAAAAATATTATAGGAATACTTACAGGCGGTGGCAGCGTTTTATATCTAACATAAAACACAGCAGCAATCAAGGCAATGTCTCTTAAAATGATCATAATGGTTAGGGGAACTGGAACAAAAACAAAGGCAAATGTTAGCAGAGCAGCCGGGGTGACATAATGAACTGCAATTTTAAATCCTATACATGACATTCAGTGTTCGCTGGTACTGGGCTGTCCACACTGGTGCTTGTGAAGACTTTTTCATATTTTATTTTAACCACTGTCCTGCCGCCCTATAGAAGATATACTGTTACAGGGCAGCAGGGGTGTGCAAAATCACATATATACATGTGATTTTGCATCTCTGGGTAGCCAAAAGACAGCCTGCTAATGGCTTTGGGATCCACACCCTGCCTGCTGTCAATCAGTATAGCTGAGAAGGAAACAATGCTTCACAATGGAGTCTAGAGCTCTGTCTGATGGCTGAATGGGAGACTACATATTAATATGCAATATTTAAAAAAAAAAAGTTTTGTTTTTTTTTTATTATTTTTGACCATAATAATGGCTTGTTCTCACCAGCAGGTGTGTGTGCACTGTGTAGGGAGGGTGGTGATGCACTGTACTGACACATCACACATTTTGCCCCCCCCCCCCACCGATTCCCCAAAATAACATTTCGTTTTTCTGTCTGCTCCATAGCACATAGTAGTGGTCTACAACGAAGTGTGTTAAAGCGGAGCTCCACCCAAAAGGGGAAGTTCCGCTTTAAGGACAGCTCCCCTGCTCCCCATTAAGGATTGGCACCGAATTTGACAGGTACCCCCCGCTCCCACTTCCGGTCTTATCGTCTAGGCCAGTGGTCGGCAAGCCGCGGCTCGCGAGCCACATGCGGCTCTTTACACATTTTAATGCGGCTCTTCTGTGTGCCGGGCGCTCGCTCCCCTCCCCTCCTCCTCGGGCGACCGCTCCCCTCCCCTCCCTCCTCTCGGGTGGCCGAGGACTCTACAGCTAGCCCAGCAATGATTGGCCAGTCTCGCTGCCACTCACATCCTGATAGCTAGTGATTGGCTGTCAGGATGTGTGTAGGCGGGGCAGCGTGACGAACGTGAGGGGAGCTAGGCTCCTCTCACAGTCCGCCCTGAAGACCGGAACGGCGCGGGGAGCACGGCGAGAGGAACGCGCGGAGCAAAGGTAAATGAATTGACACAGGGGGGACTTGACTTACTACTTGCTACTACTATATGGGGGATGGGGGAATTACTATATGGGGGATGAATTAATATGGGGGATGAATTACTATATGGGGGAGGAATTACTATATGGGGGAGGAATTACTATATGGGGATGAGGATGAATTACTATATGGGGGATGAATTACTATATGGGGGATGAATTACTATATGAAATTACTATGGGGGATGAATTACTATATGGGGGATGAATTACTATGGGGGATGAATTACTATATGGGGGATGAATTACTATAAAAAAACTTATTGAAACTAAAAACAGTGTACCATCCTATGTATTTTCAGTTTTAAAAATGTGGCTCTCAAAATAAATTTCAATCGTGGTTTTGGCGAGATTTGGCTCAGTTGAAAAAAAAGGTTGCCCACCACTGGTCTAGGCAATCGGAAGCGGAAGGTGTCCTCCCTCCCTCTTTCCCTGTAGTCTTTTGGGACACGTGACAGGTCCCACAAGACCACAGGTCCATTCATGAAGTGCAGCGCTACTTGTGCATGCGCAGTGGGTACCCGGCTGTGAAGCCACAAGCTGTCACAGCCGGGTGACAACACTGAAGATGCCGGCCTCCTGGAATACAGGATGGCCGGTGAAACGGGCTGCGGGGGACACACCACAGGACCGACGGACAGGTAAGTGGCTGTTTTTTAAAAGTCAGCAGCTAGTTTTTGTAGCTGCTGACTTTTAACTGTCTTTAATAACAAAAAAAAAGGGAAAAAAGTACACTACTGCAGCATAGTGGTGTCCCACTGAACTGAACAATTTAAGGCATTATTTCCTTGTCTATGGGGGAAATTTATCAAAATTGCAGTAGCTGTGCATAGTAACCAATCAGCTTCTAACTTCAGTTGCTCTCGGCTCCCCCCCTCCAAGTGCCCCATAGCAAGCTGCTTGCTATGGGGGCACTTGTGCTTGCTTGCTCCCGAGCTGGCTCTGTGTGTGTGTGTCCATAGACACACAGAGCATGGCCTGCTGGCCCCAGCTCCCTCCTCACTAGCTATGATTCACACAGCATCAGCCAATGAGGAGGGAGAGAGCCAAGAGAGATGCTGCTTTGTGCACATTGTTGGATCGCGATAGGGCTCTGGTGAGAATAGGGCAGGGGGGGGCTACAACCTGCATGCAGAAGATATTTTACCTTCATGTATAGAATGCATGAAGGTTAAAAAAAAAAAAAAAGCCTTTACAACCACTTTAAGCTTTGACAATAAAATCTAGAAGCCGATTGGTTAACAAGCACAGCTGCACCAGATTCTGTGGGCTCCAGTTTTAGTAAGTGCCCCTCTATGTGTTTTGCAAGGCTGCCCAGACCAGTCCAATGCATTTGGTATGAATGAGCCCTAAAGAAATATATATATATAACACACACACACACACACACACACACACACATATACACACACAGTTGTGTTCAAAATAATAGCAGTCAGACATCACTAAGAAAAGATATTTCTATATGGCAAATAATTTCCTAGCAGGTGTAGTAGAGTAATATAAATCCAACAGACCCAACAGTCATGACATGCATGCTGCTGATTCTGTGTCATTGAATCACTCAATTGAAAGGGGCGTGTTCAAAATAATAGCAGTGTGGAGTTCTATTAGTGAGGTCATTCATTCTTTGAAAAACAGGTGGCAATTATTGCCCTTATTTAAGGAAGGAAGGCAGCAAATGTTGTACATGCTGGTTACAGTGCATTTCTCTCTGAAATTCTGAGGAAAATGGGTCGTTCCAGACATTGTTCAGAAAAACAGCGTACCTTGATTAAAAAGTTGATTTGAGAGGGGAAAACATATAAAGAAGTGCAGAAAATGATCGGCTGCTCAGCTAAAATGATCGCAAATGCTTTAAAATGGCAACCAAAACCTGAAAGATGTGGAAGAAAGCGAAAAACTACCATTGGAATGGATAGAAGAATAGCCCCAAAATGGCGCGGACTCAGCCAACAATCAGCTCCAGGAAGATGAAAGAAGGTGTGACGTTCCCTGTGAGTACTGTTACAATTAGAAGACGCTGATGTGAAGCCAAGCTATCTGCAAGAAGTCCCCGCAAAGTCCCACTGTTGGAAAAAAGACGTGCTGAAGAGGTTACCATTTGCCAAAGAGCACATTGACTGGCCTAAAGAGAAATGGCGCAACATTTTGTGGACTGATGAAAGTAAGATTGTTCTTTTTGGGTCTAGTGGCCGGAGACAGTTTGTCAGACGACCCCCAAACACTGAATTCAAGCCACAGTACACTGTGAAGACAGTGAAGCATGGTGGTGCAAGCATCATGATATGGGGATGTTTCTCATACTACGGTGTTGGGTCTATTTATCGCATACCAGGGATCATGGATCAGTTTGAATACATCAGAATACTTGAAGAGGTCATGCTGCCTTATGCTGAAGAGGAAATGCCCTTGAAATGGGTGTTCCAACAAGACAACGACCCCAAACACACCAGTAAACGTGTAACATCTTGGTTCCAGACCAACAAGATGGACGTTATGGAGTGGCCAGCCCAATCCCCGGATCTTAATCCAATAGAAAACTTGTGGGGTGACATCAAAAATGCCGTTTCTGAGGCAAAACCAAGAAATAGAGAAGAACTGTGGAATGTGGTCCAATCATCCTGGGCTGGAATACCTGATCACAGGGGCCAGAAGTTGGGTGACTCCATGCAACACAGATGTACAGCAGTTCTCAGAAACAGTGCGACTACAACCAAATATTCATGAAGTCATTCAAAGGAAAGCAAAATCTTCAAACATTTCTCAGTTTATATAGTGAATGTTTGAGTTTGTAAAGAAGAATACAAACACTGCGATTTTTTTGAACCGTCTAATATTCACTTTTCTTCAATTTTTTTTAGAGGAACAACACAAATTTGATGTATTTTTCTTCATGTTGTGATTTGGAATAGAATGTGTCGTGTTCCCAATGCATTTGTGTGGATGGAAATAAAAGCTATTAGAAGGATTTTCAGCTTTATTCACTTTTTTCAACACACTGCTATTATTTTGAACACAACTGTATATATATATATATTATTATTACATCGAGTTTATATAGCGCCAAAGGGTTTGCTCAGCGCTGTACAATAGAGGGGGGGGGGGGGGGGGGGGGGGGGACAATACATGAAACAGTACAACAACAACAAACAGCACAGGAGGGTTAAAGGGCCCTACTCTTTCGAGCTTACAATCCAGGAGATATATATATATATTACTACTACTATACACATTCTCATCAAGTATTCAACTGCAGGAGTGGAGAAGAACCTTTAGAGTTTCCTCTGGCCACGAGGCCAAACCTGCACTGCGCTACTGCATATGCTTCTCATCACAAAGAATTATATTTTAATGTATATTAAATGGAAAGATTGTAAAACGCAAATCCCTTGAAAAAGGGGGGATGGCTACTCTTAAGCAATTCCTAAACCTTTCCTCCAATTTGGATGTACATGCCCTCAAATTAGAGTGTGCACTTTCAGCCCATATCCATTATAGAACTGTAGATTGAATATGTTTTGGTAAATATCTGAAAGAAAAAAAAAAAAAAAATTGTGTCCAAATATATATGGACTATATGCTCTTTTTGAGCTGCTGTGTTTTTTGGAAAGGGTCAGGGACATTTCTAAAACACAAAACATTGTGTTTTCAGATCAACAGACTTCAATGAAGACGCAGCAGAAAATGCAATTTTCTGTGTTTTTGGTGCATTTTGCGTTTTTTTTAATCTGCCCAGCAACAAGTTGCCAAAAAAAAAAAAAAACAAAAAAAAAAAAAAAACAGTGAAAATATGCAAAACGCATAAAAAAAAAAAACTAGTCAAAAACCAAGCATGCAAAAACACAAAATGCACTGCAAAACGGACATATCACTGTATATACCAGTGGTGGGCAACCTTTTTTTTCAACTGAGCCAAATCTCGCCAAAACCACGATTGAAATTTATTTTGAGAGCCACATTTTTAAAACTGAAAATACATCTCCCATATAGTAATTCACATAGTCTCCCCCATATAGTAATTCATCCCCCATAGAGCAATTCATCCCCATATAGCAATTCATCCCCCATATAGCAATTCAATATAGCATCCCCCATATAGCAATTCATCCCCCATATAGCAATTCATCCCCCATATAAATTCATCCCCCATAGTAATTCATTCCCCCATAAGAGTAATTCATCCCCCATAGAGTAATTCAATCCCCCCCATAGTAATAATAGCAATCATCCCCCCATATAGCAATTCAATCCCCCATATAGCAATTTCATCCCCATATAGCAATTCATCCCCCAATTAATTCATCCCCCATAGTAATATATAGTAATTCATCCCCCCATATAGTAATTCATCCCCCATAGTAATTCATCCCCCATATAGTAATTCATCCCCCATAGTAATTCATCCCCCCCATAGTAATTCATCCCCCATATAGTAATTCATCCCCCATATAGTAATTCATCCCCCATATAGTAATTCATCCCCCATATAGTAATTCATCCCCCATATAGTAATTCATCCCCCCTATAGTAATTCATCCCCCCTAGTAATTCATCCCCCATATAGTAATTCATCCCCCCTATAGTAATTCATCTCCCATATAGTAATTCATCCCCCATATAGTAAGTCCCCCATATAGTAAGTCCCCCATATAGTAAAGTCCCCCATATAGTAAGTCCCCCATATAGTAAGTCCCCCATATAGTAAGTCCCCCATATTAGTAAGTCCCCCATATAGTAAGTCCCCCATATAGTAAGTCCCCCCCCATATAGTAATTCATCCCCCATATAGTAAGTCCCCCCCCATATAGTAAGTCCCCCCCCATATAGTAAGTCCCCCCCATATAGTAATTCATCCCCCCATATAGTAAGTCCCCCCTGTGTCAATTCACTTACCTTTGCTCCGCGCGTTCCTCTCGTCGTGCTTCCCGCGCCGTTCTGGTCTTCAGGGCGGACTGTGAGAGGAGAGGAGTTCGTCACGCTGCCCCGCCTACATCCTGGCTGCCCCGCCTACATCCTGACAGCTGCAGAGTCCTGACTTTTGGGGCGGCCGCCCGCCCGAGGAGGGAGGGGAGCGGGCGGCCGTCCGAGAGGAGGGGAGGGGAGGGGAGGTGAGGGGGCGGCCGCCCGGCACACGCCCGTCCGATAGGAGGGAGGGGAGGGAGGGAGGGAGAGGAGAGGGAGGGGAGGGAGGGAGGGAGGGGAGGGAGGGGAGCGGGCGCCCGGCACACAGAAGAGCCGCATTTAAGCTTGTAAAGAGCCCCATGTGGCTCGCGAGCCGCGGCTTGCCGACCACTGGTATATACACTGTAAAAGCAAACATAACAAGGATCAAACCACAAACACCTCCATGAAAAAGGGAGACAATGTGAATGTCCATTCTTACCCGGAATCAGATTTGCACATGTTAAACATACATATAGGACACTGATAAGGATTTTGTCAGCAAGTGGATCAAGAGCGCTCCCCAGCGCAGACTTCTGATTGGCCCAATTCCGTGCAATGTATCCATCCAGCTAGGAAAAAAAAAAAAAAATGTCCCATTATTTCAATGCATTCACCCTCCATGTAGTGGCAGAGCTCCTTCCACTGCTGAAGATGCTGAGATTTTATTGTACAATCGTCTTATTTAACCCCTCGTCTACAGGGCAATTATACCCCCTTCCTGCCCAGGCCAAATTTCCAGCTCTTAGCGCTCTCACACTTTGAATGACAATTGCGCAGTCATGCAAGATTGTACCCATATGAATTTTTTATAATTTTTTTCTCACAAATAGAGATTTCTTTTGGTGGTATTTACTTGCCGCTGCTATTTTGCGCTATAAACAATTAAAAAGCAAAAAATTTGAAAAAAAAAAAAAGTTTCTTTGTTTCTATTATAAAATTTTGCAAACAGGTAATTTTTCTCCTTCACTGATGAGCGTTGATGAGGCTGCACTGATGTGCGTTGAGGTTGCACTGATAGGCAGCATTGATGGGCACTGATAGGCAGCACTGATAGGTGGCACTGATGATGCGTACTGATAGTCGGCACTGACTGGCAGCACAGACTGGCGGCACAGGTGGGTGGCACTGCTGGGCACAGGTGGGCAGAACTGGTGGGTGGCACTGCTGGGCACCGATCACTAGTGCCCTGATGATCAGTGCCGATCCCTGCTCTGACAACTGCCGGTTCTCAGCAGTGAGGAAAGTGCAGCCAAGAACCGGCAATTGCACTTCCCTGTGGTCAGCGTGTCATTGGACACGGCTGATCACGTGGTAAAAAGCCGCTGTGTTTTGGCCTTTTACCACATCATGAGATTAGCTGTGTCCGTAGGACACAGCGATAACGGAGATCTCCAGGTGCCCGCCCCCGGGGGGAGGGCAGGAGAGCGCGTTCTGGGAGGATGTCATATGACGCCCTCCCAGAACTGGTCAACCACAATGCAGCCGTCATTCTGCTATCTGTAGTCCGCAACTAGTTAAAGCTGAAGGGTGGAAGATAAAGTATAAACAGGTTCATATAGTTTTAGTTTCATTTAGTATCCCCCTGTAAATGAGTCCTTATACTGCACTGGACACCTAGAAGAATGTGATTAAAAATGCAAAATGCATCAAAAACACACAGCAAATGTGCCAGTTAAACATCTAGGATGATCAAAGGGTTAACTGTGTGCCTAGTTCTGTGCTTGGTGTACACTAGGTGGTGCTTTTACTAGGGGAAGTGAAGGATGGTGTTCCCATCTTTGCACGGACACACGATCCTTCACTTTCCTCCCTGTCAGAACAGAGCTCTGCCTTGTTTACATAGGGAGAGCTCTGTTCTTCGTTCCTGCCTGACGATCGGCGGGTGCCAACGGACATCTGTGCACTGGCACTTGCAGATCGGCTTCTGCTGTGAGTGTTCACAGCAGAAGCGATCCGCCAGCGACGTGCGCCCCCTATGAAGGAAGTGCAAAATCATGTATACATAAGTGGTTTTACACAGGAAAGTCACCCTGCAGCACAGCAGAAGCGATCCGCCAGAGGCGCATGTGCGCCCCCCCCATGTCAGAAGTGCACAATCACGTATATACATGTGATTTTACACAGGAGGGTCACCCTGCAGCAGAGCAGAAGCGATCCGCCGGAGGCACACGTGCGCCCCCCCTATATCGGAAGTGCACAATCACGTATATACAGTGGGGATCGAAAGTTTGGGCACCCCAGCTAAAAATTTGTATTAATGTGCATAAAGAAGCCAAGGAAAGATGGAAAAATCTCCAAAAGGCATCAAATTACAGATTAGACATTCTTATAATATGTCAAAAAAAGTTAGATTTTATTTCCATCATTTACACTTTCAAAATAACAGAAAACAAAAAAATGGCGTCTGCAAGTTTGGGCACCCTGCAGAATTTTATAGCATGCACTGCCCCCTTTGCCAAGCTGAGACCTGCCAGTGTCATGGATTGTTCTCAATCATCGTCTGGGAAGACCAGGTGATGTCAATCTCAAAGGTTTTAAATGCCCAGACTCATCTGACCTTGCCGCAACAATCAGCACCATGGGTTCTTCTAAGCAGTTGTCTAGAAAACTGAAACTGAAAATAGTTGACGCTCACAAAGCTGGAGAAGGCTATAAGAAGATAGCAAAGCGTTTTCAGATGTCAATATCCTTTGTTCGGAATGTAATTAAGAAATGGCAGTCATCAGGAACAGTGGAAGTTAAAGCAAGATCTGGAAGACCAAGAAAAATATCAGACAGAACAGCTCGCAGGATTGTGAGAAAAACAATTCAAAACCCACGTTTGACTGCACGATCCATCCAGAAAGATCTGGCAGACACTGGAGTTGTGGTACACTATTCCACTATAAAGAGATACTTGTACAAATATGGTCTTCATGGAAGAGTCATCAGAAGAAAACCTCTTCTATGTCCTCACCACAAAAATCATCGTTTGAACTTTGCAAATGAACATATAGACAAGCCTGATGCATTTTGGAAACAAGTTCTGTGGACCGATGAGGTTAAAATTGAACTTTTTGGCCGGAATGAGCAAAGGTACTTTTGGAGAAGAAGGGGTACAACATTTAATGAAAAGAACCTCTGTCCAACTGTTAAGCATGGGGTTGGATCAATCATGCTTTGGGGTTGTGTTGCAGCCAGTGGCACAGGGAACATCTCACGAGTAGAAGGAAAAATGGATTCAATAAAATTTCAGCAAATTTTGGATGGTAACTTGATGCCATCTGTGAAAAAGCTGAAGTTAAAGAGAGGATGGCTTCTACAAATGGATAATGATCCTAAACACACCTCGAAATCCACGGGAGATTACATCAAGAGGCGTAAACTGAAGGTTTTGCCATGGCCTTCACAATCTCCTGACCTCAACATAATTGAAAATCTATGGATAGACCTTAAAAGAGCAGTGCGTGACAGACAGCCCAGAAATCTCAAAGAACTGGAAGACTTTTGTAAGGAAGAATGGGCAAAGATACCTCAAACAAGAATTGAAAGACTCTTGGCTGGCTACAAAAAGCGTTTACAAGCTGTGATACTTGCCAAAGGGGGCAGTACAAGATATTAACTCTGCAGGGTGCCCAAACTTTTGCAGACGCCATTTTTTTGTTTTCTGTTATTTTGAAAGTGTAAATGATGGAAATAAAATCTAACTTTTGTTGACATATTATAAGAATGTCTAATCTGCAATTTGATGCCTTTTGGAGATTTTTCCATCTTTCCTTGGCTTCTTTATGCACATTAATACAAATGTTTAGCTGGGGTGCCCAAACTTTCGATCCCCACTGTACATGTGATTTTACACAGGAGGGTCACCCTGCAGCACAGCAGAAGCGATCCACCGGCGACGTGCGCCCCCTATGAAGGAAGTGCAAAATCATGTGTATCTATACACATGATTTTACACGGGAGGGTCACCCTGCAGCACAACAGAAGCGATTCTCGCATGTGCGTCCCCCTATGTTGGAAGTGTACAATCATGTATATACACGTGATTTTACACAGGAGGGCTGTAAATCTGCTATAGGGCAGACCTTAAGTGGATAATGCCCCCCCCCCCCCCCATCCTGTTTTCAGAAATACATCACTGCTATTTAGAATGTTTAGGGAGTAAAAAAAAAAAAAGATAACCTCACCAGATCAGTCAGTCCAGCGAGACCGAACACGGCGAGCGCGGTGTTAAAATCCTGTCCGATAACCAGATATCCCAGCACAGGGGACAGACCGATCCGGGTCATAGACAGCAGATTGGGGATGGTCCAGGGGTTCTCATACTGAAAGATACAAAGGGACACATCAATAGTGCTTCCTATACAGAGGGGTCCTTGTACGCTTCCCATGTACAGATTATATTCTGTATATCAGCGTCACTATCAGCTATATACACCTTTCCACACTACACCAGAAACATTCACAGGTGATGACAGAGGAGGAAGACTGGCATCTGCTCAGCATTTACTTTCTCTCTGTGAGTTGGGCAAAAACAAAAAACACCAAAATGTCTCTCCTGAATGAACATTCTTTCATTATAGACTGCGCTTGGGTACTTCCGTGAGACTACCGCTTCCCCGTCCGAACACCGACCACAGCCGACCATACAAGACTAGACGACACCAGTCTTGAAGTAATCCAGAAGGTAGACTAGTTTATTTTAACACAGATACAAGATATATACACTCAAGGGAACAATCCCCCCTCCCTGCATAATGACACAGGGCGGGGCAATCTACCTTTAGTAACAAGAGACACACCAACAGACAGTCCCATCAGGAGGGAGGGCTGCTGGAGACACCCCCCACCAAGCCAATACACGTAAACACATACATCCCATAATAGTTTGCTCCCAAACAAGACACATAATAGAACAATGGGATGCAACCACATGACATTAAAAAATGAACAACCCCCCACACCCCAATACTAGGACAGATCACCCTGTACCCCTAACAGGCAGAGGGTGACTTGCACATAATAGGGATATGGGGAGCTGAGAAAGGGGTCTCCCCACCTCTCCAAATTGAGCTGTTTTATATGAGCCCCCCACCCAAAGTGACTCCCGTCACCGCTGTAGTACAAGTCACGCCGGAGCGACTTGTCATGCAATTTGACAGTTTCAAATAGCATGACAAGTCACACCCTACTGTCCACAATGGAAGCGGTCAAAACAATGCGATTCTGACTGCGTCAGAGTCGCACCAATTTTTAAAGTACTTCATGCACTATTTTTTTGCAAGTCCAGTTGGGACTTGCACAGAAATCTGTGCACGTCACAACTGCACCACCTGCCTGGAGTTTACATGTTCTCCCTGTGCCTGCGAGGGTTTCCTCCGGGTACTCCGGTTTCCTCTCACACTACAATGCTGGTAGGTTCATTGGCTCCTGTCTAAATTGTCCCTAGTATGTGTATGTATGAATGTGAGTTAGGGACCTTAGATTGTACGCCCCTTGAGGGTTAGGGACTGATGTGAATGTACAATATATATGTAAAGTGCTGTGTAAATTGACGGCGATATATAAGTACCTGAAATAAATAATAAATGAAGTCGCATTGACATCCGACTTTGAAATCGTGCGATTTCAAGTGAAGGTGCACAATTTCAAAGTCGGATTTGGTGTGACCAAACCAGGGGTGGACTGACAACTCATGGGGCCCCCCGGCAATAGGGGATAATGGGCCCCTGTGTCCTTGCCCACACTCAAAGCACACCCAAAAAAGCATATAAAAAAGGTACCAGGGGCATTTCATGAGGCCCCCTACTGACCCCGGGCCCTCGGGCAGTGCCTGAGTGCTCGAATGGTCAGTCCGCCCCTGGACCAAACACTTGCACTGCATCACAGCCACCAGAAGAAGTGAAGGAACATAGGACACACATACAGCACTGGATAGATTTGTACCAGGAGACACAATGGAACAATCATAGGCAATGGTTACATGTATGTACGAATTCCCTCCAGAATGATTACATTGTATCTCTCCTTACACATATACAGTGAGGAACAGAAGTATTTGAACCCCTGCAATTTTGCAAGTTCTCCCACTTAGAAATCATGGAGGGGTCTGACATTCACATTGTAGGTGCATTCCCACTCTGAGAGACAGAATTGAAAAAAAAATTCAGGAAATCACATTGTATGATTTGTAAAGAATGTATTTGTCTTGCACTGCTGAACATAAGTATTTGAACACCTAAGAAACAGCAAGAATTCTGGCTCTCAAAGACCTGTTACTGCGCCTTTAAAAAGTCCACCTCTACTCCACTCATTAATCTAACTTAGTAGCACCTGTCTGAGCTCTTTAAAGACACCTGTCCACCCCACAGTCAGTCAGACGCCAACTACTACCATGGGCAAGACCAAAGAGCTGTCAAAAGACACCAGAGACAAAATTGTGGACCTCCAAAAGGCTGGAAAGGGCTACGGGGCAATTACCAAGCAGCTTGGTGAAAACAGATCAACTGTTGGAGCAATTGTTAGAAAATGGAAGAGGCTAAAGACGACTGTCAGTCTCCCTCGGACTGGGGCTCCATGCAAGATCTCACCTCGTGGGGTATCACTGATGATAAGAAAGGTGAGGAATCAGCCCAGAACTACAAGGGAGGAGCTGGTCAATGACATGAAGAGAGCTGGGACCACAGTTTCAAAGGTCACTGTCGGTAGAACACTACGCCATCATGGTTTCAAATCATGCATTGCATGGAAGGTTCCCCTGCTCAAGTCATCACATGTCCAGGCCCGTCTGAAGTTTGCCAATGACCATCTGGATGATCCAGAGGAGGCATGGGAGAACGTCATATGGTCAGATGAGACCAAAGTAGAACTTTTTGGTCTAAATTTCACTCGTCGTGTTTGGAGGAAAAAGAAGGATGAGTTGCATCCCAAGAACACCATCCCTACTGTGAAGCATGGGGGTGGTAACATCATGCTTTGGGGGTGCTTTTCTGCAAGGGGGACAGGACAACTGCACTGTATTAAGGAGAGGATGAACGGGGCCATTTATTGTGAGATTTTGAGCAACAACCTCCTTCCCTCAGTCAGAGCATTGAAGATGGGTCGTGGCTGGGTCTTCCAACATGACAACGACCCGAAGCACACAGCCAGGAGATCCAAGGAGTGGCTCCGTAAGAAGCATATCAAGGTTCTGGAGTGGCCTAGCCAGTCTCCACACCTAAATCCAATAGAACATCTTTGGAGGGAGCTGAAACTCCATGTTGCTCAGCGACAGCCCCGAAACCTGACAGATCTAGAGGAGATCTGTGTGGAGGAGTGGGCCAAAATCCCTGTTGCAGTGCAAACCTGGTCAGGAACTACAGGAAACGTCTGACCTCTGTAATTGCAAACAAAGGCTTCTGTACCAAATATTAACACTGATTTTCTCAGGGGTTCAAATACTTCTGTTCAGCAGTGCAAGACAAATACATTCTTTACAAATCATACAATGTGATCTCCTGAATTTTTTTTTTTAATTCTGTCTCTCAGAGTGGGAATGCACCTACAATGTGAATGTCAGACCCCTCCATGATTTCTAAGTGGGGGAACTTGCAAAATCGCAGGGAGTTCAAATACTTCTGTTCCTCACTGTACACCCTGTTCCAAACTATTATGCAAATTCTATTTAAGTGTCACAAAGATTAAATATTTTGTTTTTCAGTGTAACTCATGGATGGCATTGTGTGTCAGGGCTCTTTTGATCACTGAAAACAATCTCGGACACCTGTGATAATTAGATTGGCCGGTGAGCCCAATTTAAGGAAAAACTCCTAAAGGAGGGTGTTCCACATTATTAAGCAGATCCCAATTTTCAAGCAATATGGGGAAGAAAAAGGATCTCTCTGCTGCTGAAAAGAGTGAAATAGTTCGATGCCTTGGACGCGGTATGAAAACATTCGATATTTCACGAAAACGTAAGCGTGATCAAAGCACTATGAAGAGATTTGTGGCTGATTCAGAGCACAGACGGGTTGGTGCAGATAAAGGCACATTGAGGAAGATTTCTGCCAGATCCATGCATCGGATCAAGAGAATGGCTGCTAAAATACCATTACATAGCAGCAAACAGATAGTTGAAGCTGCTGGTGTCTCTGGAGTCCCACGGACATCAAGGTGTAGAGTCCTCCAGAGTCTTGCAACTGCATAAACCTTCTATTCGGCCACCACTAACCAATGCTCACAAGCAGAAACGGCTGCATTGGGCAGACAAATACATGAAGACTAATTTTCAAACAGTCCTGTTCACTGATGAGTGCCGTGCAACCCTGGATGGTCCAGATGGATGGAGTAGTGGATGGTTGGTGGACGGCCACCCTGTTCCAACAAGGCTGCGACGTCAGCAAGGCGGTAGTGGAGTCATGTTTTGGGCCGGAATCATGGGAACAGAGCTGGTCGGCCCCTTTAGGGTCCCCAAAGGTGTAAAGATGACCTCTGCAAAGTATGTGGAGCTTATGACTGACCACTTTCTTCCCTGGTACAGAAGGAAGAACTATGCTTTCCGTAATAAAATCATCTTCATGCATGACAATGCACCATCTCATGCTGCAAAGAATACCTCTGCATCAATGGCTGCTATGGGGATAAAAGGAGAGAAAGTCATGGTGTGGCCTCCATCCTCCCCTGACCTCAATCCTATTGAGAACCTTTGGAGCATCCTCAAGCAAAAGATCTATGAGGGTGGGAGGCAGTTTACATCCAAACAGCAGCTCTGGGAGGCTATTCTGACATCTGGCAAACAAATTCAACAGAAACTGTCCAAAAACTCCCAAGTTCAATGGATGCAAGACTTGTGATCTGCTATCAGATAAGGGCTCCTATGTTACAATGTAACGTGATCTGTTCAAATGTTTACAAAGTTACAATGTTGGGAAAAGTTTGATTGAAATAGCTTTTGATTCCAGTAAATATTCTGCAAACACAACAAATGACAATTTTCAGTTCTTTACAACCTAGAAAGTGTTTTGAAACTTCCTGTGCGGAATAATTTGGAACAAAAATCCTGTTATCATTAGGAGGTTTGTTCAATAAAATGTGAATTGTACTTTTATAGTTGTAACATGAGAATTCTGCCGAATGATATTTACATCAATTATTGAGGGAAATGAGAAAAATATCATCTGCATAATAATTTGGAACACGGTGTATATGGTGGTGCAGTCACAGAGAGGCACACCTATACCGTGGCGCAGTCACAGAGAACCATACATATACCGTGGCGCAGTCACAGAGAACCATACATATACCGTGGCGCAGTCACAAAGAGGCACACCTATACCGTGGCGCAGTCACAGAGAGACACACCTATACCGTGGCGCAGTCACAGAGAGACACACCTATACCATGGCGCAGTCACAGAGAAGCATACATATACCGTGGCGCAGTCACAGAGAGGCACACCTATACCGTGGCGCAGTCAGAGGCACACCTATACCGTGGCGCAGTCACAGAGAGAACCATACATATACCGTGGCGCAGTCACAGAGAGAACCATACATATACCGTGGCGCAGTCACAGAGAACCATACATATACCGTGGCGCAGTCACAGAGAGGAACACCTATACCGTGGCGCAGTCACAGAGAGGCACACCTATACCGTGGCGCAGTCACAGAGAAGCACACCGATACCGTGGCGCAGTCACAGAGAGGCACACCTATACCGTGGCGCAGTCAGAGAGGCACACCTATACCGTGGCGCAGTCACAGAGAACCATACATATACCGTGGCGCAGTCACAGAGAACCATACATATACCGTGGCGCAGTCACAGAGAACCATACATATACCGTGGCGCAGTCACAGAGAACCATACATATACCGTGACGCAGTCACAGAGAACCATACATATACCGTGGCGCAGTCACAGAGAGGCACACCTATACCGTGGCGCAGTCACAGAGAGGCACACCGATACCGTGGCGCAGTCACAGAGAGGCACACCGATACCGTGGCGCAGTCACAGAGAGGCACACCGATACCGTGGCGCAGTCACAGAGAGGCACACCTATAACGTGGCGCAGTCACAGAGAGGCACACCTATAACGTGGCGCAGTCACAGAGAGGCACTCCTATAACGTGGCGCAGTCACAGAGAGGCACTCCTATAACGTGGCGCAGTCACAGAGAGGCACACCTATAACGTGGCGCAGTCACAGAGAGGCACACCTATAACGTGGCGCAGTCACAGAGGGGTACACCTATACCGTGGCGCAGTCACAGAGAGGCACACCTATACCGTGGCGCAGTCAGAGAGGCACACCTATACCGTGGCGCAGTCAGAGAGAACCATACATATACCGTGGCGCAGTCACAGAGAACCATACATATACCGTGGCGCAGTCACAGAGAACCATACATATACCGTGGCGCAGTCACAGAGAACCATACATATACCGTGGCGCAGTCACAAAGAGGCACACCTATACCGTGGCGCAGTCACAAAGAGGCACACCTATACCGTGGCGCAGTCACAGAGAGACACACCTATACCGTGGCGCAGTCACAGAGAGGCACACCTATACCGTGGCGCAGTCAGAGAGGCACACCTATACCGTGGCGCAGTCAGAGAGGCACACCTATACCGTGGCGCAGTCACAGAGAAGCATACATATACAGTGGCGCAGTCACAGAGAGGCACACCTATACCGTGGCGCAGTCACAGAGAGGCACACACCGATACCGTGGCGCAGTCAGAGAGGCACACCGATACCGTGGCGCAGTCAGAGAGGCACACCTATACCGTGGCGCAGTCAGAGAGGCACACCGATACCGTGGCGCAGTCAGAGAGGCACACCGATACCGTGGCGCAGTCAGAGAGGCACACCGATACCGTGGCGCAGTCAGAGAGGCACACCGATACCGTGGCGCAGTCAGAGAGGCACACCGATACCGTGGCGCAGTCAGAGAGAACCATACATATACCGTGGCGCAGTCACAGAGAACCATACATATACCGTGGCGCAGTCACAGAGAAGCATACATATACCGTGGCGCAGTCACAGAGAGGCACATCTATACCGTGGCGCAGTCACAGAGAGGCACATCTATACCGTGGCGCAGTCACAGAGAAGCACACCTATACCGTGGCGCAGTCACAGAGAAGCATACATATACCGTGGCGCAGTCACAGAGAGGCACACCTATACCGTGGCGCAGTATCTTCAGGGGGAGGTAAGGTCAGCACCAGGTCTGTGTAGTGGGGAGGGGGTCTGTAGTCTCTATGGGAGCAGAGGTCAGTACAAGATCAGTATGGTGGGGGAGGGGATCTGTAGTCTTTATGGTGGGGGAGGTCAGTACCAGGTCAGTGTGGTGGGGGAGGGGAAATGTAGTCTCTATAGGAGGAGGGCAGTTACAGGTCAATGTGGTGGTGGTCTGTAGTGTTTATGGTGGGGAGGGGGTCTGTAGTCTCTATGGTAGGGGAGAGGAGGTCAGTACCAGAACAGAATTGGGGTGAAGGGAAGGTCAGCACCAGATCTGTGTGGTGGGGAGGGGGTGTGTAGTCTCTATTGGATGGAGGTCAGTACCAGGTCAGTGTGGTGGGGGAGGGCAGTAACAGGTTATTGGGGTGGTGGTGATGGGGGGGCTGTATTGTCTATGGTAAGGGAGGGGGTTTGTAGTCTCTGTGATGGGGGAGGGAATCTGTAGTCTCTATGGCGGGGGAGAGGAGGTAAGTAACAGAACAGAATTAGGGTGAAGGGAAGGTCAGCACCAGATCTGTGTGGTGGGGAGGGGCTCTGTAGTCGCTATAGGGGAGGTGAGGTCAATACCAGATCAGTATGGTGGGGGAGGGAATATGTATTCTCTATGGGGGGGGGGGGGGGGATTTTGTAGTACTAGGTCAGTGTGGTGGGGGAGGCATCTGTAATGTCAATGATGGGGGACGAGAGTTGTAGTACCAGGTCAGTGTAGTGGGAGAGGGGATCTGTAGCCTGTGTGGTAGAGGAGGGGAGTTATAGTGCCAAGTTGTGTGTGGTGGGGGAGGTGATCTGTAGTCTGCGTGGTGGGGGAAGGGTTTGTAGTGTCTATGATGGGGAGGGGAGTTGTAGTACCAGGATAGTGTGGTGGGGGGAGGGGTTTGTAGTCTATGTGGTGGGGGAGGAGCGTTGTAGTACCAAGTCAATGTGGTGGGGAGGGGGTCTGTAGTCTGGGTGGGGGAGGGGAGTTGTAGTACCAGGTCAGTGTGGCGGGGCAGGGGAGTTGTAGTACCAGGTCAGTGTGGTGGGGAGGGGAGTTGCAGTACCAGGGCTCTGTGGTGGGGGAGGGGATCTCCCCGGGTCTCGGGTGGTTTCTCCCCCGGGGGGGTGTCGGATCGGTGTCTTCCATACAATATCCGGGCGCATGGTCGGGCGAGGCCGGGGATCCGGGCGGTGATCGGTGTACAGGCCGGGCTCGGTACGGAGACAGTCCCGGGGCGGATCACGTGTCTGGCTCGGAGCCCCCTGAGGATCGCACGGCCCGGACAGCCGAGGAGGGAGATCGGGGAGCGGCCCAGGAGGGCTGCCAGAGCCGACATAGCAACCTTCTCCTCTACGGCCCGGGATCTCCGCTCCCCATGCCGGACTTTGCGACACTCGGCGCGGAATACGGCATTAACCCCTGAGAGGACGACAGGGGGAGGGAACAACAATTGTATCCTGGGGAGGGGGAGAAAGGAGCCCCTCCCCCTCCCTTATATCTGGGAGGAGGAGGGGGGACAGGAACACCCCTTATATTTGGAGGAGGGGGGGGACAGGAGCTCCCCTTATATCTAGGAGGAGGGGGGGGGAGATAGGAGCCTCTCATATCTTGGAGGAGGGGGGAACAGGAACCCCCCTTATATCTGGGAGGAGGGGGGATAGGAGCCCCCCTTATATCTGGGAGGAGGGGGGAGACAGGAGCTCCCCTTATATCTAGGAGGAGGGGGGGAGATAGGAGCCTCTCATATCTTGGAGGAGGGGGGACCAGGAACCCCCCTTATATCTGGGAGGAGGGGGGATAGGAGCCCCCCTTATATCTGGGAGGAGGGGGGATAGGAGCCCCCCTTATATCTGGGAGGAGGGGGGAGACAGGAGCCCCCCTTATATCTGGGAGGAGGGGGGGAGACAGGAGCCCCCCTTATATCTGGGAGGAGGGGGGACAGGAACACCCCTTATATTTGGAGGAGGGGGGGACAGGAGCTCCCCTTATATCTAGGAGGAGGGGGGGAGATAGGAGCCTCTCATATCTTGGAGGAGGGGGGAACAGGAACCCCCCTTATATCTGGGAGGAGGGGGGATAGGAGCCCCCCTTATATCTGGGAGGAGGGGGGAGACAGGAGCTCCCCTTATATCTAGGAGGAGGGGGGGAGATAGGAGCCCTCATATCTTGGAGGAGGGGGGGACCAGGAACCCCCCTTATATCTGGGAGGAGGGGGGATAGAAGCCCCCCTTATATCTGGGAGGAGGGGGGATAGGAGCCCCCCTTATATCTGGGAGGAGGGGGGAGACAGGAGCCCCCCTTATATCTGGGAGGAGGGGGGGGGAGACAGGAGCCCCCCTTATATCTGGGAGGAGGGGGGGGGATAGGAGCCCCCCTTATATCTAGGAGGAGGGGGGAAGACAGGAGCCCCCCTTATATCTGGGAGGAGGGGGGATAGGAGCCCCCCTTATATCTGGGAGGAGGGGGGACAGGAGCCCCCCTTATATCTGGGAGGAGGGGGGATAGGAGCCCCCCTTATATCTGGGAGGAGGAGGGGGGAAACAGGAGCCCCCTTATATCTGGGAGGAGGGGGGGGAGACAGGAACACCCCTTATGTCTGGGAGGAGGGGGGACAGGAGCCCCCCTTATATCTGGGAGGAGGGGGGAGACAGGAGCCCCCCTTATATCTAGGAGGAGGGGGGAGACAGGAGCCCCCCTTATATCTGGGAGGAGGGGGGGAGACAGGAACACCCCTTATGTCTGGGAGGAGGAGGGGAGACAGGAGCCCCCCTTATATCTGGGAGGAGGGGGGGGGAGACAGGAGCCCCCCTTATGTCTGGGAGGAGACAGGAACACCCCTTATGTCTGGGAGGAGGGGGGACAGGAGCCCCCCTTATATCTGGGAGGAGGGGGGAGACAGGAGCCCCCCTTATATCTGGGAGGAGGGGGGGGAGACAGGAGCCCCCCTTATGTCTGGGAGGAGGGGGGGAGACAGGAACACCCCTTATGTCTGGGAGGAGGGGGGACAGGAGCTCCCCTTATATCTGGGAGGAGGGGGGAGACAGGAGCCCCCCTTATATCTGGGAGGAGGGGGGAGACAGGAGCCCCCCTTATATCTGGGAGGAGGGGGGGAGACAGGAACACCCCTTATGTCTGGGAGGAGGGGGATAGGATCCCCTTATATCTTGGAGGGGAGACAGGAGCCCCCCTTATATCTGGGAGGGGGGACAGGAGCCCCCCTTATATCTGGGAGGGGGGACAGGAGCCCCCCTTATATCTGGGAGGAGGGGGGGACAGAAGTCCCCCTTATATCTGGGAGGAGGGGGGACAAAAGCAGAGGGTGCTTACACAGCTGGTGTAGCATTGTGGGGATTTGAAATGCCCGCTCTTCTCTCTCCTCTTTCTGCATGACTTCCAGGATGGATCACAGTGATGCTCTGCGCTGCTGGCAATCAGAATTGCTCTGATCTGTTCTGGAAGCGCTGCAGATAGAAGGGAACCGCAGGAATTTCAAATCCCATGGAGGTAGGTACAGCGAGGACCGGGTGCTCAAATCTCTTGGAGGTAGGTGGAGGTAGGTACAGCGAGGACCGGGTGCTCAAATCCCATGGTGGTAGGTACAGCGAGGACCGGGTGCTCAAATCCCATGGAGGTAGGTACAGCGAGGACCGGGTGCTCAAATCTCATGGAGGTAGGTACAGCGAGGACCGGGTGCTCAAATCTCATGGAGGTAGGTACAGCGAGGACCAGGTCTGGGGGTGGGTAGGGTGTTTGTTCACCTTTTAATTTTGTCTGGAAAGATGAACTTACTCTTACAGGCCCTGGCACATGGGATCATCATTTACTGTTTGCTCAGGAACCCGTGAGGCCGGGTACAAGGGGCCAAACGCTGTGTACAGCCCTGAGTAACGTTGAGTACAGCCAACAACACCCATAGCCTCCTGCACATCAGTGTCATATAACCCAGTTGAGGAGCAGAAGGTCACATGAAAGTCACATGTAGCCATGCTGCCCTCTAGGACTGGGGAGGTCCTGTGACAACTGGAAGAAAAGAGAGGCTGCACCAGCCTAGTGCATTATCCAAAAGATGCTTAATATGAATCCAACATAAAACTACTCAAAAGCAAAGAAGAATGTGTATCTGTATTGCCTTCCAGAAGCACATTTGTGAGGTCAGGCACTGATGTCGGGGGAGGAGGCCTGGCTCGCAATCTCCGCTCTAATTCATCCCAAAGGTGTTCTATGGGGTTGAGGTCAGGACTCTGTGCAGGTCAGTCAAGTTCCTCCACCCCAAACTGGCTCCTCCATGTCTTTATGGACCTTGCTTTATGTACTGGTGTGCAGTCATCTTGGAACAGGAAGGGGCCATCCCCAAACTCTTCCCACAAAGTTGGGAGCATGAAATTGTGCAAAATGTCTTGGTATGCTGACGCCTTAAGAGTTCCTTCACTGGAACTAGGGGGCCAAGCCCAACCCCTGAAAAACAACCCCACACCATAATTCCCCCTCCACCAAACTTCACACTTGGCACAATGCAGTCAGGCAAGTACCGTTTTCCTGGCAACCTCCAAACCCAGACATGTCCATCAGATTGCCAGACAGATAAGTGTGATTGGTTACTTCAGAGAACTCTAGAGTCCAGTGGCGGCGTGCTTTACACCACGGCATCCGAAGCTTTGCATTGCACTTGGTGATGTAAGGCTTGGATGCAGCTGCTCGGCCACGGAAACCCATTCCATGAAGCTCTCTATGCACTGTTGTTGGGCTCATCTGAAGGCCACACCAAGTTTGGAGGTCTTTAGCTATTGACTCTGCAGACAGTTGGCTACTTTTGCACACTGTGCGCTTCAGCATGCGCTGACCCCGCCCTGTCATGTGACGTGGCCTACCACTTGGTGGCTGAGTGGCTGTTGTTCCCAGTTGCTTCCACTTTGTTATAATCCCACTAACAGTTGAGCGTGGAATATTTAGTAGCCAGGAAATGTCACGGATGGACTAATTGCCCAGGTGGCCACCTATCACGGGACCACGCTTGGAGTCACTGAGCTCCTGAGAGCGACCCATTCTTTCACCAATGTTTGTAGAAGCAGTCTGCATGCCTAGGGATTGATTGTATACACCTGTATCCATGGAGGGGATTGGAACACCTGAATCACATGATATGGAGGGGATTGGAACACCTGAATCACATGATTTGGAGGGCTGGCCCAATACTTTTGGCAATTTGGTGTAGCTGGCTGTGTGATCATTTGAAGTTATGCAGGCCATACACGGGTCGAATTCCGAATTCATTTTCTTCAGAAAATTGGAAATTTCGTGTGTTTTGTAATCTGATGGCGCCACCATTGATTTTAAAATTCAACCAACCAAGCCTTCAATTTCTTCTCATGTTGCTACAGAAAATGGCCAAAAATTTTCTTTTCTTTCCAGGTCACAGCTTTATATTTCTTGCAAAATTCTCCCATCATTGATTCGAAATTTGTTCGTTTTTTTATAAAATTTCCAACATGCCAGATCACTCAAGTATGATGGTCACAAGAAAATCGTCTGTTTCTGTGACCCACTAATGGTGCGAAATTCGAACAAAAATTCTTAGAAAAGATTTTCAAAAGAAAAATTATTTCGTAATTCGACCCAAGTACGGCCAGCTTTAGTCTCTGAGGAAGAAGGATATTCCTTTGAAACACATCAGCCTTCGGGGAACCAGGTGTGGCCCCCCCTGTGCCTGAGAGATTGTTCCATTTGACCACAGAAGTGTGGCAAGATAAGCTGGTTTCTGCTATGCTTGTGAGTAGTTTTATTTTACATTCATATTAATTCCAGTCCGGACACTTTCACCCCCTTCCAGTCCGGACACTTTCACCCCCTTCCAGTCCGGACACTTTCACCCCCTTCCAGTCCGGACACTTTCACCCCCTTCCAGTCCGGACACTTTCACCCCCTTCCTGTCCGGACACTTTCACCCCCTTCCTGTCCGGACACTTTCACCCCCTTCCTGTCCGGACACTTTCACCCCCTTCCAGTCCGGACACTTTCCCCCCTTCCAGTCCGGACACTTTCACCCCCTTCCTGTCCGGACACTTTCACCCCCCTTCCTGTCCGGACACTTTCACCCCCTTCCTGTCCGGACACTTTCCCCCCTTCCAGTCCGGACACTTTCACCCCCTTCCTGTCCGGACACTTTCACCCCCTTCCTGTCCGGACACTTTCACCCCCTTCCTGTCCGGACACTTTCACCCCCTTCCTGTCCGGACACTTTCACCCCCTTCCAGTCCGGACACTTTCACCCCCTTCCAGTCCGGACACTTTCACCCCCTTCCTGTCCAGGCCAATTTTTCAGCTTTCAGTGCTATCACAATTTGAATGACAATTGCGCGGTCATGCAACACTGTACCCATATGAAATTTTTAGCATTTTTTTGAGACAGATAAAACTTTATTTTGGTGGTATTTATTCACCACTGGGGATTTTTATTTTTTTTGCTATATAAATGAAAAAGTCCAAACATTTTGAAAAAAAAAGTGTTTTTCTTATACAATTTTGCAAATAAATAATATCTCATCATCAATCTTGGCCAAAATGTATTCAGTTATCTTTTTAGTAAAAAAAATAACCCAAATTAGTTTATAACCAAAAATTATAATTTTTCAAATTTTTATATTATTTATGGTTTGTTTGTTTTTTACATACTGTCACCCTAGCAGTACAGTGTCACCATAGTGACACTGTACTACTTGTGGGGGGTGATTTTTTTTATTTTTTTTACACTGATTGCTTTTACAGCCTTTATGGGTGTAAAAGCAATCATTTCTCCTTCTCTCTGGCTGCATTCTTGCAGCCATTGAGAAATACTGTGAGAGCTGTGATTGGTCACAACTTGTCACATTGTACAAGGCTGTTGTGAATGGCCCTGTACCATGTGTGAGCTGTGATCATTCACAGAATTCACAAGTAGTAAGCAATGATGTCAGAAGTGACATCTTGCTTACACCTATTCATGTGATCACTCATTGGCCAATCAGTGATCACATGATCGGGACCTCACACAGAGCAATCGGTGCTCCGCTGTGTCCGGAGGATCGCAGTGCCGCGCGCTCCCAGGGAGCGTGCACAATCCAAAATGGCGGGCGCGGTTTATGAACGGCAACCCGCCCCTGCACTGCCACCATCCGGCCGTTTATATTCAACGGCCCGGACAGGAAGTGGTTAAACATCTTTTGGATAATGCACTAGGCGGGTGCGCCCTCTATTTCTGTTGTTTTCTTTTAAAGTGGAGTATAGCTGAGTAAAGGTGTGTAAGTGTACAGACGAGTAAAATTCTTCTTTTTCGCCAGTATTGTGATATATTTACTCATACTCTTGTAAACAGTCTAAAGAAACTACATAAATTACTGCACTCTACTGCATTTCTATGTTTCTTTTACTGCTCTGTACTCATCGCTGTATTACTGATCTTTGCTGTGTGCATTGTTCCATAGACAACACTGCATCTCATTTCACATCAAAAAGGCCTAAGAATCAACTTCAGGGATACTGAAAAACTGGATTGTATAAGAAATTCAAAGTATTTTACATTACTTTAACAATATATTCACAGTTTATATAGAATTTAAAATCTATACAGAACATACAATGAGAGGACAGACACTCAGCATTACAAACGTAGTGCAATAACGTGACATGTTAAACATGCTCAGGACTATAGAGCAGTTATAAAGGAAGAACCGGTCCGAGTCATTCATTCTACATTCAGAAACAAGAGATCGAATATCTGTAGTCTTCAAAGTTAGTACTTCAAATACAAAAAAAAAAAAAATTACATAGTCTGAAGCTGATAAACTTTGGGTCCTTTTTTTAAAAGGTAGCCTTGATCGTTCAGTGAGTTCACAAAACCTTCAAAGTCAGAAACCTGCAATAAAGAGGGGAATCATTATCATAAAATAGAAGTTTTCTCTGATCTCCGGGACACCTGAAGCAACGCATATTCTCCTCGCTCTACTCCAGAAGACAGAATGCTGGTGTAGTCGGTGCATGCTTACATCCTAGATTGTAAGCTCGAAAGAGCAGGGCCCTCGAACCCCTCGTGTTTTGTATTGTTACTGTATTGTCTCATGTCTTGTCCCCCACTATAATGTGCAGCGCTGAGCAAACCTTTTGGCGCTATATAAATACTGTATAATAATAATTATGATGCAAGTGATCTATACTGCCGTATACATTGAGTATTTACCAGATTTCTCTTCTCACCTCCCCCATACAACAGCGCTTACACAGGAAGAACTAGCATGGGTCCCCCAGTGATGGCTACATGAGGTTTATCGTGCCTCACAGCAGAATCACCTGATTTCCCATTAAAAAATAAAATATGCACAAAAAACAGCCATACTTTACATACACAGTATATTTTTTATGTGTAGTATAAAAATTTAGTGGTGAACCGAAACCAAAAAAATTCTGGACCGAAACCAAAAATTCAGGATGCACTTGAAACTGAAATGGACCATTTTTTTTTTTTAAATATATATTTTTTTTCATATATAAAATTGTATTGTATTCAACTTTTTAATTAATATCATGTATTTCAATAAATACTGGATTGTATTTTTTCAATTCATAACTTAAAATAACTTTTATTGAAAGTAACACACAAAATGAAATATTTGTAAATATATATAACATTTTAAAAAAAAGTTAAAATAGAGGCATTTTTGCGTTGACGTCAATGGGAGGTGATATCGCACTGAAGTCAATGGGACGCAATTTTGCATTAAAGTGATTCTAAAAGGTTTAATTTTTTTGTTTTTTAAACAAACATGTCTATACTTACCTGCTGTGTGTATTGATTTTCCACAGAGCAGCCCGGATCCTCCTCTTCTCTGGTCCCCTGCTGGCGCTCCTGGCCCTTCCCTCCTGTCGGGTGGCTCCACAGCGAGCAGCTTGCTATGGCGGCACTTGAACATGTGCACTCCCCAGCCACTGCTCCATGTGTCCATTCACACACAGAGCCGCAGCTTGGCCCCACCCCCTCTTCTCATTGACTCACTGGCTGTGAATGACAGCAGCAGGGAAAATCGAAAAAAGAATTCTCCTGCGCTCCAGGACTCAGACAGGTGGCACAAGATGGAACCAGGCCTAGGGAAAACGATCACCACTGCATAAAGGGCTGTGCAGCTCCAAACCAAGGCTGGGGAAGCCCAATCAGCACTGCAAAATGAAATAAAAACAAGAAGCGCACCAGCCTTGCGCATTACCTCAATAAACCAAAGTTTATTACTTGTAAAAAACATACTCACAAACAGCGAATAAAATCAGGCATGTAAGTCCTCTCAGGGACTTGAAGATAACATGAGTCCCATCAGGGGAATGGATGTTCAGTACAGCTGACGCGTTTCGAAGGGGGTCCCTTCTTCCTCAGAGCTAAGCTCTGAGGAAGAAGGGACCCCCTTCGAAACGCGTCAGCTGTACTGAACATCCATTCCCCTGATGGGACTCATGTTATCTTCAAGTCCCTGAGAGGACTTACATGCCTGATTTTATTCGCTGTTTGTGAGTATGTTTTTTACAAGTAATAAACTTTGGTTATTGAGGTAATGCGCAAGGCTGGTGCGCTTCTTGTTTTTATTTCATTTGACAGCAGCAGGGGCCAATGGATCCCGCTGTCTCAGCCAATGAGGAGAGGGAGTTCTGGGATAGTAGAGACTCCAGTGCACATCGCTGGATCAAGAGGGGGCTTAGGTGACTATTAGGGGGTGCTGGGGAGGATGCTGCAGAGAGAAGGTTTTTTACCTTCATAGACAGAATGCAGGAATGTAAAAAGACCTTGAGCCTTTACAACCACTTTAAGGTCAATGGGATACAATTTTGCACTAATGTCAATGGGGGGAGGAGGAGAAGACATTTTTTTGCATTGAAGTCAATGGGACTCAATTTTGCATTGAAGTCAATGGGACTCAATTTTGCATTGAAGTCAATGGGACCCAATTTTGCATTGAAGTCAATGGGATGCAATTTTGCATTGAAGCCAATGGGATGCAATTATCATTATCGACACCTTTTTTTTTTTTTGCCTTTGGCAAAACACCAATAACTTTATTTTCGGCGGTTGATCTATCAGTGCATCACTAGTAATAAGATGCATTCCTTGGGGCAGCCATGCTCACTCAATTACATATACAGGCTATGCTTTATGCTTAGTAGTATGGCACAGTTAAGATGCTTTACTGCTCCTCATATCAATGCAATTCTATAATTCTGTTTTTATTGACATTCTCAAAACGTTTTATTATAATAAGGCCCCATTCACATTTGGAGGTCGCAGGTAAAATCACAGCTATTCTGCCTGTGATTCTACATTGCTGCAAAAACGCATGGCGTGTGCTTGGGTGGTGCCATTATACTTAATGGTTTGATTTGATTCTGTTGAGATTGTTGCATGGCAAAGCGCGCCTCAAAGTCGCGTGAAGCTTTTGTCCGAAAAGGATCAGGAGCTTCCTTTTGGCTGACAAATGCACATAGGACAAGTGAATGGGCTGGCCCTATACAACATACACAATGTGAAGACAATAGAGCTCTGAAAATGTCTCAGCAAGAACATTTGTTCCTGATACATGAATATGTGAACAGTGCCTAATGAATTAAAACCCCATAACATCCAGTGTGTAAGCCCTTTTCCTCTGCTTCTTGTCTGTATTTTTTAATAGTGACACACACTGAGGAGACCATGCAGGTGACATGCAGAACACTTGGCACTTGAGATGCAAATGGTGTTCATATAACAGACTATAGACTGGTTCTCAGTGGGCTGTGTACCCCAGGAGTGACTGATAACATACGCCCCAGGAACTTTTGTTAAATGACTTTCTTTACAAGTCTAGAGCAGAGAGTCTCCAAACTTTTTAATCAAAGATCCAATCATTGTCCTTCAGACTGTTTGGAGGCAGGACAGTGCCTTGCAGGTGTCTCCTCTGAGCATTCCAGAGAACTGAGCAACGGTCATTTACCGCTGCATGATAAAAGGATACCTACAGGTGAAACTCGAAAAATTAGAATATCGTGCAAAAGTTCATTTATTTCAGTAATGCAACTTAACTAATATATGAGATAGACTCATTACATGCAAAGCAAGATAGTTCAAGCCGTGATTTGTCATCATTGTGATGATTATGGCTTACAGCTCATGAAAACCCCAAATCCACAATCTCAGAAAATGAGAATATTGTGAAAAGGTGGAATATTCTCGGCTCAAAGTGTCCCACTCTAATCAGCTAATTAAGCCATAATACCTGCAAAGGGTTCCTGAGCCTTTAAAGGGTCTCTCAGGCTGGTTCAGTAGGAATCACAATCATGGGAAAGACTGCTGACCTGACAGTTGTGCAGAAAACCATCATTGACACCCTCCATAAGGAGGGAAAGCCTCAAAAGGTAATTGCAAAAGAAGTTGGATGTTCCCAAAGTGCTGTATCAAAGCACATTAATAAAGAGTTATGTGGAAAGGAAAAGTGTGGAAGAAAAAAGTGCACAAGCAGCAGGGATGACCGCAGCCTGGAGAGGATTGTCAGGAAAAGTCCATTCAAAAGTATTGGGGACTTTCACAAGGAGTGGACTGAGGCTGGAGTCAGTGCATCAAGAGCCACCACACAAAGACAGATCCTGGACATGGGCTTCGAATGTCATATTCTTCTTGTCAAGCCTCTCCTGAACAACAAACAAAGTCAGAAGTGTCTTACCTGGGCTAAAGAAAAACAGACCTGGTCTGTTGTTCGCTGGTCCAAAGTCCTCTTTTCTGGTGAGAGCAACTTTTGAATCTCTTTTGGAAACGAAGGACCCCGAGTATGGAGGAAGAATGGAGAGGCCCAAGGACCCCGAGTATGGAGGAAGAATGGAGAGGCCCAAGGACCCCGAGTATGGAGGAAGAATGGAGAGGCCCAAGGACCCCGAGTATGGAGGAAGAATGGAGAGGCCCAAGGACCCCGAGTATGGTGGAAGAATGGAGAGGCACAAGGACCCCGAGTATGGAGGAAGAATGGAGAGGCACACAATGCAAGATGCTTGAAGTCCAGTGTGAAGTTTCCACAGTCTGTGTTGATTTGGGGATCCATGTCATCTGCTGGTGTTGGTCCACTGTGCTTCAATAAGTCCAGGGTCACCGCAGCCGTCTACCAGGAGATTTTGGAGCACTTCATGCTTCCTTCCGCAGACGAGCTTTATGGGGATGCTGACTTCATTTTCCAGCAGGACTTGACACCTGCCCACACAGCAAAAAAAAAGCACCAAAACCTGGTTCAATGACCGTGGAATTACTGTGCTTGATTGGCCAGCAAACTCGCCTGACCTGAACCCCATAGAGAATCTAAGGGGCATTGCCAAGAGAAAGATGAGAGACATGAGACCGAACAATGCAGAAGAGCTGAAGGCCGCTATTGAAGCATCCTGGTCTTCCATAACACCTCAGCAGTGCCACAGGCTGATAGCTTCCATGCCACGCCGCATTGAGGCCGTAATTGCTGCAAAAGGGGCCCAAACCAAGTACTGAGTACATATGCATGCTTCTACTTTTCAGAGAGGTCCGATATTGTTCTATGTACAATCCTTGTTTTATTGATTGCATGTAATATTAAAATTTTCTGAGATTGTGGATTTGGGGTTTTCATGAGCTGTAAGCCATAATCATCACAATGATGACAAATCACGGCTTGAACTATCTTGCTTTGCATGTAATGAGTCTATCTCATATATTAGTTTTACCTTTTAAGTTGCTGCACTGAAATAAATGAACTTTTGCACGATATTCAAATTTTTCCAGTTTCACCTGTATGTACATTATCTCTTGCAGGTGTCTTTTGTGTGCTTGCCGATCTTTACTACACTATGGTTACATGGGACTCTCTGTTCATATCATTTACTTGTTTTTTTTATACAGCTATAGATGAATTGGAGGATTCCTGTCCTTGTGACATCGTTGTGTTTTATATGCAGTATGATACATATTATATTTCCATTTATATTCATCACAAATATTTATTACGTTTTTTACACGTGTATTGTATTTTATCTTATCGATTATTCAACATTTGCAGTGATGTGTACTATTGGGTCCTTTGGCTCCGACCTCTAGGGCATTTGGCATACTTGCTATTCCCGCCCATACAACTCTAGTCCCTGCATGCAAGGCTGGTCCCACAGGATGCTACAGGAGAAAGGAGCCACCCTGAAACAGAAAATCTGGGGCAGAGGTCATGTCACCAGCTTATACTGGAACAAAGGAAAGGATTCAAAGACAAAAAGAAGTGGCAAGTGATTAAATCTATAATATTATTAAAGTGATATTAAACCCTCAGTTTTGTAAGCACTTTCATCAGTCGATGTACCTATTGTAATAAATGTGCATTGGCCAAGGGGTACATTATTATTATTATTATACAGTATTTATAAAGCGCCAATAGTTCGCTCAGCGCTGTACATTACAAAGGGGGACAGAACATGTGACAGAACAATACCAATACAATGCAAAAAATGAGGGGATCGAGGGCCCTGCTCCTTGGAGCTTACAATCTAGGAGGGAGGGGATGGTGGCACAGGAGGAGATAGCTGTGGGGGATGGAGTGGTAGGAAGAGTGGAGGAGGTTGGCAAGTTAGCAGGGGGTGGGGTAGGTTTCCCTGAAGAGATGGGTTTTCAGGGTGTGCCTAAAGGAGAGGAGAGTAGGTGATAATCTGATGGGTTGGGGCAGGGAGTTCCAGAGGATGGGTGACACCCTGGAGAAGTCCTGGAGGCGGGCATGGGAGGAGGAGACCAGGGAACTACTAGAGAGAAGGAGGTCTTGTGAGGAGCGGAGTGTGGGTGTTGGGCGGTACTTAGATATTAGGTCAGTGATGTAGTTCGGGGCAGTATGGTGGACAGCTTTGTACGTCAGCGTTAGGATTTTGAATTTGATCCGTTGTGCAATCGGAAGCCAGTGGAGGGATTGGCAGAGGGGGGTGGCGGAGATGGAGCAGTTGGAAAGGGGAATGAGTCTGGCAGCCGTATTCAGGATGGACTGAAGCGGGGATAGCCAGCGGCGAGGCAGGGCCAGTGAGGAGGGAGTTTCAGTAATCGAGTCGTGATATGATGAGGGAGTGGATGAGCTGCTTAGTGGTTTCTGGAGTTAGGAACGTGCGGATTTTGGCGATGTTACGGAGGTGGAGTCTGCATGAGAGAGAGGTGACCCACACAAATGCATGTTTAGAAACCCTGACCTATTAAAAATGGATACAAGCTTTATTAAGAACATTAAAAAAAAAATGTTGGCCTATAGAAAATGATGCAAAATAAACATTGCTAGTCATCACTGCTTTCTCGATCCAAATCTATTGGTTTACCTGGATCTGCAATTCCTTGGCAATCTGCCGAAGCTGTTGATAATCAAACAGGTTATTGTAAGTCTGTTCTGCAATTCTGTTAAGAGCAGAAACAAATTTCTTTGCTTGAGATCGATTACTCATTCCTGAGCCGTGCTGAGATCTATTGAAATCCAGTTTTCCAAACTCATCGGAGTATGTCCCAAGAAGGCTAGATAAAATGGAAAGAAATCATTTGTTAGACTCATTCACCGGAAATAAACATGCTATAGAGAATGTATAGTAGTTTTATATATGTTCCTTTATTGAGGTACTGAGCCAATGCCACAAAAAAGCCCGTTGAGTAGTATCAAGGTGTTGTTGGGTATATTGTACCCAGGCTTTTTTGTGGCATTGGCTAGTAAAGGCTTCTTTCTGGCAGCAGAACCATGCAGATCATTTTTTTTCAGTTATCGTCGTATTGCGCTCCTTGAAACAACCACACACCGTCTTTATCCAGAGCAGCCTGTATGTCTCCTGAGGTTACCTTTGGGTTTTTCTTTGTATCCCAAACAATTCTTCTGGCAGTTGTGGCTTTCTTGGTCTACCTGACCTTGGCTTGGTATCAAGAGATCTCTGAATTTTCTACTTCTTAATAAAGTAATTGAACAGTACTGACTGGCATATTCAATGCGTTGAATAGCTTTTTATATCCTTTACCATTTTTATAAAGTTCCACTACCTTGTTATGCAGGTTTTTTGACTGTTCTTTATTGCTCTCCATAGTTCAATATCTAGCCTGTTCAGTGCATCCATATGAGAGATAAACTCATTGACTATTTATACACAGACACAAATTGCAATTTAACCATTTCAATACAGTGTAATTTTACACCTTCCTGCCCAGGCCATTTTTCACGTTTCAGCGCTCTCACACTTTGAATGACAATTGCGCGGTCATACAACATTGTACCCAAACTAAAATTTTATCATTTTCTTCACACAACTAGAGCTTTCTTTTGGTGGTATTTAATCACCGCCGGGGTTTTTATTTTTTGCTAAATTAACAAAAAAAGACCAAAAATTTTGAAAAAAAACACGTTTTTTTCTTTGTTTCTGTTATAAAAGTTTACAAATAAATAATTGTTCTTCATAAATTTAGGCCGAGATGTATTCTGCTACATGTCTTTGGTGAAAATAACCCAAATTAGGATGTATTATTTAGTCTGTAGGAAAGTTATAGAGTTCACAAACTATGGTATAGATCTGAAAATTGATCAATCCTGAAGTACTGACGGCCAATCTAATTTCTTGAGGTCCAAGAATGTCAGAACAGTACAGATATCCCCCAAATGACCCCTTTTTGCAGAGTAGACAGTCCGACGTATTTCATAGGAGGCATGGCGAGTTTTTTGAAGTTGTATTTTTTTTGTCATAATTTTTCGGAAAATAAAAAAATTAAAAAAATTATTTTCACTATTTTTTTTTTTACATACTGTCACCAGTGCAGTACAGCGTCATCATATAACTGGCATGGCGGTGATCAGGGACACTGACTGGTGACAGTATGAAAAAAAAAAATATATATATATTTTTTTTTTTTATTATTATTTTTAATTTTTTATTACATTTTTTTTATTTTTTTTAAGATTTTTTTTTTCATATTTTACTATGACTTTTTTTTTTTACACAATTTGCTTATAGCAAAGAATTACTTTGCTATAAGCAAGCATTTACCTGAATGACCGATTCATTCAGGTTTTTTTTTTTTTTGTGTGCTTAGCTGTGATTTGGTCACAGCTAATCACATGACATGTGCATGTGATTAGCTGTGACCATTCACAGCTACGCAGTAGTATACAATGGATGGCATGAATGAAGTCATCCATTGTATACAACTGTCATGTGACCTGCTGTGATTGGTCACAGCAGGTCACATGGTACCAGCAACGGGGACCGGTACTCAGATCTGTCATTGGCCGTGTCCGAGGTACACGGCCGGTGACAGATCGCGCCGCTGTGAGGCTCTGCATTAGCGCAAACTGCGCATGTGCGGGTGCACGCCAAATGGCATGCACCCGGAATGCCGCAGCACTTTTGAAGCCGCCAAACGGCCATTGGCCGGGAGGCTAATGGTTAAAAAACCACAGATTCACCTTTAATTGCCATTTTAACCCATGTATGTCACCTTGTGTGTCTGTACCAAGGTCAAACATTCCAGGGGATGGAAACGTTTGATCATGGTCATTTAGGGGATTTCTGTTATCATTATGATTTAAAAAGGAGACAAAACAACTATGTGATGATAAATGGCTTCATATGATCACTATCCTTAAATAAAAGACAGATTTTTGGCATAATCAGTCATATTTTTCAATGTCACTGCCAAAACATTATAATTTCTGCCAAGGGATGCAAACTTTTGTGCACAACTGTGTAAACTACAGTGAAAATGTGCTGATGAGCATATTACAGAGCCCTGACCAACAAAATGGAAAACACTTTAACATTACATACCTAAAGCACCATTTAGAAAAGGCACCAATAGTGATATATAAAATCCTCTGATAGTTTGGATATGAGGAGAAGCAGAAAATGAGATAAGGAAGAATAAAAAACAAGAGGAATAAGGGAAAGCAACAATAAGAAGGGGGGCAGGGCACAGTGAAGGGCAATGCCTACACCTGAGAAGTCCAGGAAGCAGCATTGTGGTCAAGCTTATTGGAAAACCCGGACAAGTGTGACCAGACAGTCCACATTAGTATTGGGATGGACTCGGACCACAAATATATACACCACAGGGCGCGGCATACATTTAGTAAGGATGACACACAGCTGACACCTCCAATGACGCCATTACCACATAAACAACTATACATCCCATAATAGTTTTCTCTCAAGCAAGACCACAATAGATTGGTCAGGGATCTCCTCGATCCCTGCCGCGATGGACTCCGGCCGCAGGCGCAGTGCACCGCCCTGTGACAGGGACACGGGCACTAGGTCCGGGCCTGGCGCGTAGCGTTCGGATGTTCCGCATTGCGCCAGTAGAAGCAGCGGCCGCTCGCTGGGGCACCAATAGGAGCGCAGGGTGGGATATTTTAAATGGCCCTGAGCTGTCATTCAGTGCCTTATGGTCTTCTGCATCCTGTGATGTGATCCTG